ACAGTTTTGCATATATGAAAACAGTTAAATGTACTCCTACACAAAGACCCAGCAATTCCAGTCCTAGTTATTTACCCAAGAGAAACAAAAACATACTACAGGAAGATTTATACAAGAACAGCAGTTTTATTCATATCAGTCCTAAACTGAATCTCTCAGATGTCCATCAGCAGGAAAATGACTAAACAGATTCTGGTAGACACACAATGGAGTACCACTGAACAATACAAGAAACAAATTTCCAATCACACAACAGCATGCATGATGAGCAAAAGAAGTCAGACACAAAACATACCTGATGTGCTGTTACATGTGTGAAATCCTGTAACAGGCAACACAAACATATGGTGACAGAAAGGACACTAAGGTTTGCCACAGAGAAGTTGCCTGCCTCCAGCTGGTCAGGATGCAGGCTGAGGGGTGGAAGGTACATCGCCCTGTTCTTCATTTTTCAAATAACATCTTAGTTTTCAGCATTATGTCTCCCTTTCAGTCTCCACTGCCTTCAAAATTTCATAGGGACCTGGTTGTTTCCTGCCCACTTTGAGCACCCTTCACCCACAATAGCATTTAATGCTCCTCTGACCTATATTTGATTTGCCCTATCAGTTTTGGTTGAAATCTCTTATTTGCTCCCTTGCCATTCTCTTTGTCATTGTGAAGCTGATTTTTAATTGTTATTGTAGTGGCATTTTTAATAAGAGAGAAGACAAATGCTTCTCTCTACCTGTTGTCTTTAAACAGAATTTTTTCTATTTTTATTTTTGTTCAATTACAGTTTTCCCCATTTTCCCCCATTACTCTCCCCTGCCATACCCACCTCTCACCCCCCACATTTAATTTTCCCCCACCCTGTTGTCTTTGTCCTTCAGTCCTTTGTACATGACCCTTGACCTGACCCTTCCCCTTCTTTGCCCCATTATCCCCCTACTCCCCACTGGTTACTGTCAGTTGGTTCTTTATTTCAATGTCTCTGGTTCTATTTTGCTATCTCTTTTGTTTTGTTGATTAGGTTCTACTTAGAGGTGAGATCATATGGTATTTGTCTTTCACTGCCTGACTTATTTCACTCAGCATAATACTCTCCAATTCCATCCATGTTGTTGTGAAGGGTAGGAGTTCTTTCTTTCTGCTCCATAGTATTCCATTGTATAAATATACCACTGTTTCTTGGTCCGCTCATTTACTGATAGGTATTTAGGTTGTTTCCAACCAATTGTAAATTGGCTATTGTGAATATCACTGCTATGAACAGAGGGGTGCATAGGCTCTTTTGTATTAGTGTTTTAGGATCTTAGAGTATGATCCCAACAGTGGGGTTGCTGGGTCAAAAGGCAGTTCAACATTTACTTTTGTGAGGGAATTCCATACTGTTTTCCACAGTGCCTGCACCAGTCCGCATTCCTACCAACAGTGTACTAGGGTTCCCTTTCCTCCACATCTTTGCCAGCACTCATTGTTTGTTGATTTGTTTATGATGGCCATTTTGGCTGGTGTGAAGTGTTATCTCATTGTGGTTTTAATTGGCATCTCTCTGGTGGCTAGTGATGATGAACATCCTTTCATATGTCTGTGGATTCTGTTTGTCCTCCTTAGAGAAGTCTCTGTTCAAGTCTTTTGCCCATTTTTTAATTGGATTGTTTGTCTTCCTGAAGTGGAGTCATGTGTGTTCTTTATATATTTTGGTGATCAAACTCTTGTCCAAGGTATCATTGGCAAATATATTTTCCAATTAGATTGGTTCTCTTTTCATTTTGCTGATATTTTCTTTAGCCATGCAGAAGCTTTTTAATTTGATGAAGTCCCATCATTTATTCTTTTCTTTATTTCCCTTGTTCTAGGAAGCATATCGATGAAAATATTGCTGCATGGAATATCTGAGATTTTCCTGTCTATGTTCTCCTGTAGGACTTCTATGGTGTCATGACTTATATTTAAGTTTTTTTGTCCATTTTGACTTTATTTTTGTTTATGGTGTAAATTGGTGGTCAAATTTCCTTTTTTTCTCATATACTCATTCAGATCTCCCAACATCATTTGTTGAAGAGGCTATTTTTATTCCACTTTATGTTTCTTCCCCCTTTGTCAAATATTAATTGACTACAGAGACCTGGGTTTGTTTCTGGGCTCTCTATTCTGTTCCACTGATCTATGCCAGTACCAGGCTGCTTTGATTACAGTAACCTTGTCATTAAAATTTGACACAATAATGTGACATTATTATTCTCTGATGCATGCTGGGTGGGTACTGAAAGTTACCAATAATTCTCCTCTGGTTTGAAAAAGGAAGCTTATGTGTCTTCATAATGTTTAGGAACATAGATATTAATGAAAATATTATTATCAGAGTAATGAAATGACCAACTAAGAAGCAGAATTACAGATTCTTGTTTATACCTTTCACAGGAAATAGCAGGTGTTACTGAATATTGAAATGTGTAAAAGGATTCATTATATACAACGACACAGGTAGATATATTTTGCCACAGAGTAGGAGTCCCAGGAAAAATTATTGATATTCTTGTGATTCAGTTTATACCTTAATATATCATTATTAAACCACATCTTATTATTTATTAACTAGTTTTATAATTCAGGATGGTATTTCTCTTTTCAATTGTAGGTCAGGGAAACTCTGTACTTATCTTTCTGTGATTTATTTTCTCTTAGTTGTTAATTAAGATGCATTTTCAAGGTTAAATTTTATTGTTATTTTATTGTTTTTTATTCCTCTGTGATGACTTGTTTACTCCATCTCACTTTTATACAAATTTAATTTTTTTCTTGTTTAAATTCCCATCTCCCCACCTCCTCTCCTTTGACAAACATTAGCTTATTCTCTGTATGTATGGGTCTGTTTCTGTTTTGTTTTGCTTTGTTTATTCATTTATTTTGTGAGGTTCTTTATTCCACATATAAATGATATCACACGGTATTTGTTTTTCTCTAGCTGACTTAATTCACTTAGTATAATACCCTCCAGGGCCATCCATGTTTTCTCAAATGGCAAAATTTCACACTTTTTATTGCTGAATAATATTTTATTATATATGTGTGTATTTATAAAACATCTTCTTTATCCATTTCTCTACTACTGATAGATGTCTAGATTGCTTCCATATCTCAGCTGTTAGTAGTAATGCTGCAGTGAACATAAGAGTACATATATCTTTTTGAATTCGTGTTGTTTTCTTCAGATAAATGTCCAGAAGTGGAATTGCCAGATCATATGGCAGCTCTATTTATTTTTACTTGTGCGAGGAGGAATCTCCACACTGTTTCTCATAGTCACTGCACCCTTTACAGTTCCACAAAGTCCAAGAGTTCCCTTTCCTCTGCATCCTGCAGGCACTTGTCATCTGTTGACTTATTGATGATAGCTACTCTAACAAGTGTGAGGTAATATCTCATTGTGCTTTGAATTTGCATCACTGATAATTAGTGATGTTGATCCTCTTTTCATATATCTGTTGGCCATTTACATGTCCTCTTTAGAGAAGTGTCTGTTCAGGTCCTCTGTCCATTTTTTACTGAATTTTTTTGTTAACTTATATGAGTTGTTTTTATATTTTAAATGTTAATCCTTCATTAAATGTGTGAACATTTGCCAATATCAGTATTGTTTTTTTCATTGTGGTATTGGTTTCTTTTGCAGTGCAAAATCTTTTTAATGTGATGTAATCCCACTTATTTATGTTTTTTTTTATTTTCCTCTAAAAGATATATCCCAAAAGATGTTTCTAAGAGTGATGTCAAAGTTTTCTTCTAAAAGTTTTAAGGTTTCAAGTTTAACCATTAAGTCTTTAATTTATTCTGAGTTTATTTTTATCTGTAGTATAACAAAGTGGTCAAATTTCAATTTGTATACATGTCACTGTTCAGTTTGGCCAACACCACTTATTGAAGAGACTGTCTTTACCCCATTGTATACCTTTGTCTTAAATTAACTAGCCATATATGTGAGAATTTATTTCTGGGCTAGCCCTCTAGTCCATTGATCTATACATGTGTTTGTTTTAGCCAATACTATATTGTTTTGATTATTACAGTTGTATAGTATAGTTTTATATCAGGGAGTGTGATACTTCCCACTTTGTTTCTTCTTGAGATTTGGCTATTTTGGGTCTTTTGTGGTTCCATAAAACAATATAGGATTAATTCTAATTCTTAGAAGAATATATTTCAATAGGCATTGCACTGAATATATATATTACTTGAGGTAGTAAGAATATTTTAACAATATTAATCTTTCCAAATCATAAATATGGAACAGTATATTTTTTCATTTGTTTGTACCTTCTTCAATTTCTTTCATCAATGTCTTGTTTTCAGAATAAAAGTATTTCACCTCTTTGGTTAAATATATCCCTAGGTATTTTAGATGTTTTGATGCAATTGTAAATGGGATTGTTTTCTTAATTTCTTCTTATGATCATTTCTTATTGATGTATAGAAATACAATAGATTTTTGTATATTGATTCTGTATTCTGCAACTTTATTAATGTCATTTATTAGTTCTCATACTTTTTGGTAAAATTTTTAGAGTTTTCTATGGTATTAGAAATAGAAATAGTTTTCCATGGTAATATCATGTCATCTGCCAAGAACTAGAGTTTTACTTCTTCCTTTCCAAATTATAATGACATTTATTTCTTTGTCTTGTCTTATTGTTGTGGCTAGAACTGCCAATATTATGTTGAATAGAAGATTTTAATATAAAAATATTCCAAATATGTTTAGGAGAAGACATGTGTACAATGACTTTAACTGGGACAGTCGGGACATTTATATAATATGTATGTCTTGCTGATCCTCCATGCTTCTTCTATTATATCTTTGTTGATTGCATCAATTCCATTTATTCTGGTCTCTGCTCAGAACTTCTTATTTTATTCATGTTGATTCTTCACATTCTATCCTTCATATATAAAACATTACACCCTCCACTAGCACTTCAAAATCTTGATGACCATTTTACCAAGGTATCCTTTCTCCCTAGGATGTCTGAAGAAGACAATAAACTTATGTGTGACATTGCACTTAAATACTTCAAGGAACGTAAAGTTGAGATTTCAAATGCAATAAAAGCATTATATCCTTTCCTGGAGACCCTTCGTGACCGTGACCTCATCACCGATGAAATGTATAAAGTAAGTGAAGTTTATTATGTCACAATTTGGTAAACCAGCCCCACATTAGTTGTTTTGGTAGTTTGGAGTCAAGTGTCAGGGCACAACACTACAAGTGAGAGATCTCCTGTGAGTGGGGACCTTCTCAAGTACTCTTCTAAATGTTCTTAGAAGGTGAAAATAGGAAGCAGGCATCACTGCAGACAGTCATGCTCCTGACTGAAGGAATGAAACTTTTTGGTGTCTCCTAGAGTTAAGGTGAATAACACTGGAGATAGGCTGGATCTGAAATTTATGGGCCCATAGGTGTACAATATAAAGCCTTGTAGGTATTAGATGTACAATATAGCATAAACTAGAGGTTAAAGGCATTTTTAATGAATGGATGAATAACTTTAATCAACTGATTTAATGACATAATTTACACAGCATTTTATTCCAGTGAACATCAATTTAAATGCTTAGATCTGAGAACATTAAAATCCACAGAAAATGAATGTATTCTTAGGACAAATTTCTAAGTAGTTACCTTCTATTCTCTCTCTAACATCTTTCAGTTTTCTTTTCCTTTGTTATTTCTGGAATCTTGAAATTTAGATAATTCTAGCAAAAGATACAGGTGGAGATACAAAGATGCAAATCTTCTGTTTCCCTATGAATAGACTATTTTACAGCAAAGCTCTCAGGAAGGGAAAAATCATCACCTGACTTCTTTGAGCTTTTCCAGGCCAAGTTGGTCCTAGGGAAGGAACAAGTGTTTTACATTCAACAGAACATCAGCCTATCACCTGATCAGTCAATTCCTAAAACAGTTTGCCAGGTTCTGAATGGGATACATATCATTTAACTTTGAACCAACTTGTGTTTTCCAAATTGCTCCTCCTTCCATCTAATATAAATGAGAGTGATGAGAACAGATACACAATTGCATATTTTTAAGGAAAAAAGATTTACTTATTTGTAGCTACACTAATATGAGGAAATTTCTAAACTGTACATGAGAAGACACCTATGTAGAATTATAATACATTAAAATGAAATCACTTTCTAGGGCTCTTCTGTAACTTAAAACTCTGTATTCATATGTCCCCATTCACTATTTTTAAGGCATCTAAGAAATCTTATAAAAACCCATTAACTATACCAAAAGTGGTGTATGGAGTCCTGGATAACATGGAGGAGAAACATCACCTGCCACTTCTGGAAATCTTGTTCAGCAAGGTCATCATGAAGAACTACCCTGATTTAAATGGCATTTGTGAAGGCTTCAGACATGGTAATTAGGTTTATAGAGTTCCTTTCAATGTTCATGGCAAGTTTTTTTTGACAAATATATTTTGAGCATGCGTCACACATGATGCTGGTCTGAGGTGACATAGCAATTAAGAATACAGACATCATGAGCCTTCTGGAAGCTTTTGGTATAGTGACTACAGTATAAAATACACCTAGATGTCTGCTTAACTAAGCATTTAAACTCTCACAACATTTAGAGTCACAATCACATCAGATTTACTTTGAAGAACAAATGACAACAAGCACTGCATTTGAGTAAGGCGTCATCAGTTGCTGCTCTTTTTGCACGTGTCCACATAGCACACCATCAAGTACACTAGTCTCTGCCTCAGCTGACAACTCAGCTGTGGGTGCAGAATCCACCTGCCTTAGCAGCATCATGACCAGGGGACTCAATGTCTCATGTAACAACTCTGTAGTGATTACTTTCATGGACCCCATGAGAGACAACTGAGTTACAAGAGTCACCACATTGGAGGCTTATAGTTTACATGGAGTCCTTCTGAGTCCAGTTATGGGTCATTTTTCAGCCTAACCCCACTGTTGATCTGGTAATACAGAAAAGAGAGAACCACCTTTATCAGGTGTCCAGAGTAATGAACAATAAAAGTAACCATTTCTTGTAATGAGCAAGAAAATTAACCTAGATCAAATTGGCCCTTAAACAAAGATAATGGCTATATTAGCACTTTCTCCACAAGGAGTGACACAAACATTAATCACATAATCTCAAAATTAATTTCTCTGCCAGAAACTCTACCACACAAAAGTGATTGATTCACCACTTTTTCCTGCGACTCACAATGTGTAATTTCTAACTGTAGTCTGAATTTGTGGTTCAAACTGTCCGGCCAATGATTTAAAAATGATTATAGCTCATTGTGATTTCTTCTTTCTATAACTTTTGTTTTGACTTGCCAGAAAAATTTCTGTTTCAACACAGTTTATTATCCACCAAGGTCTCCCAATAAGAATAGAGAATTCACAGGAAAAAATTATATGAACTGAGTAGTGAAGATGCTATGGGAAAAACACTCAGCTGGTGCACTGGTCTCACCTTTTTGGCAGCCTCCCAGGCTCTGGTCCAGAACTCTTGAGACGTCCTCCAGTGCCACAATATCCAACCCCTCCTGGCAGCTTCAGACAGTCTCCTGAGAATTGGGTATCCTGGAGGTCTTCCTAGTTCTTCCTGTGTCCTCTGCTATCTCTTTGGGAAGTGCTCATCTTCCTGACCCAGTAAACTCCACCCTTCTCTTGACCACCAATTTATTTAAAGTTTTTGTGTTTTCATGTTTATACGTGCATTCACTTACAGAATCTTCGTCCTTCTTGCAAGGGAATTGTTATTTTCTCCTTACAGTTTGAAGAGGTCAGAAAACACACTTCACTTCCACTTTTTATTTGACACATGCTTTTCCAGACATCTGTAATTTTTCTTACATACATAACAAGTTCATGATGTTTTGTACCACTTCTTTATCCTGACGTTTGAGTGACTCCTTTCTGTGTGAGTAACATAAGGATGACCTTTTGGGGGGTTCTCTTTTCTGTACCAGGGAGGGTGTGGAACTTGACCATGAGGATGTGGAGGCTGTGAGACTTGACCATGAGGACTGGGACTCACTGAGTTCTGAGTGACCATAAGGCTGAAAATTCCTAAATGTGCACACTTGATGTCCCTGCACTCTGATTGAGATCTCTAACTTCTGTTCTCTCTCTTTTCAGAGATCTTAAAGAAAATGGTTTGTCAAGCAAGTGTTGGAGATGAGAGTGCGGAGAACCGTAATACTCAACTGAGAATTGAACAAGGTGATTACAAACAAGTAAAAAGGATTCTCTTCTGCTAAGAAGAAAGGAGAAGTGGGCTTAGTGCCCACCGCTGCCCTTTGGGTGGAAGTATCACTATGTGCCCATTTACAGAAAAAGAGACTAAAATCCAGACAGACAATGTATGCAGTTGGCTTGGGGTCAAGTAAGCTGTATGAACCCAGGCCTTCTGAACCCACAGCCCATGTTGTAAACCCTGTACACTCCCTGATAAACTCCTGAAAAGGACAAAACACTTGAGGTGAAAATAGGGAAATAGATGCAGAAAGAAAAATACCAAAAGCTAGAGAAGTGAAGGAAAATCAGTTGCTGAACTCTGATAAAAAGGCCCACAAAGCAGAGTAAACAGGCCTGCAGAGGGAGGCTGTGTGTGAAGCAGGCTGGGGAGGTCCAGTAAGACCACCAGTCTGGGGTATCTCTGGGGACAAAACAAGTTTTCTATGGCTGTGGCTGAAAAGACAAGCCATTACTAATTACCAAGAAGCTCATGGATGACATAGTGAGTCCTAATTTCTCAAATAAGTCCTAATTTCTTCCCTCAGGAACTGGTGGAAAGTCATATCCAAGCCTGTCCTGGCTCTTCCCGGATCAGTCTAATTACACAGGTCTGTTTCTTCTTGCTGTTCTGTGATCCTTTGATGATCTTGTCCCTTTCTGCAATAGGCTGTGGTGAGTGGGCTGCTTCTCTTTAGTATGGAGTGCCCAGAATTGTCCATCTTGGCATGTGCTATGTCTCCAAATATTTAGAGAAGAGAGTCTTTATACACTGAGTTGCCTGGGAGTGTTGGTCCTCTCATTCTCACATGTGCTTGCTGCCAACTACTGACAGCTCTGGGACCTATTGTCCATGTGCCTGGCTTCATGGCCTCTGCATCTGTCTTGCTTTAATAGGTTGTGGCCTCAGCTGATGATTTTACATCCTGAGGTGGCCTGTACTACAGGAGACAGGTTAGCAGTGATGACTGTGCTCCTTGGGGGTAGAGTCCCTCACCTGTTGAAACCTTTACACAGCACCATGTGCCTCCCGTGCAAACCCGCTCCTATCATTCCCAGGACAGTGGACCAGACACTGGTCGAAAATACCAGATGGGCCTCTGAACACATATTACAATAACCACTGTTTACAACTCTTAACATTTCCTCAGTCTTCATCAGTGTTCCAAGCATTTTTAAATATTGCTATGGTTATGATCATCATTATTAGTATTGGGCCAGAGTCTAAACTGTTATCTATACAGTAAACTGTGGGGTCTTCTTTTCTCACAGATGCCCATGGTCTATTTAATTACCCCCCAGGCTGTAGAACAGCGATCAAAGCAATACCAACCTCAGGCCCAAGAAAATAAATTGAGGACCACAGGTTTCCCATCCTTATATCACGATAGTGTATAATAAATTTATGCCTTTATTCCCTGACTCTTCTTTAGAAATAAGTGACAGGAGGAGACTCAGGGAACCTCCTGCACCATGGAAGGTATAATACTGTAGCTTGTGTGAGATGTGTTACTTCATAAAGAATATTATGAATTAGCATTTTTTATAAAATAGAGTGATTTTTAAAGGCATCATGATACTTCTAGTAAATTAGATTTAGTAAAACAGTTAACACTTAACATGCATCCAACATTCATCAAAGCATATTCCTAGCAGTTCATCTACCAGTGCAGCTGGTGGGAACAGGAAGGGTTGAGAGGAAGGAATTGTGACTAGTAATGACCAGAGAATAAGTTTAATGTGGAGGTGGGGGTGTTGGGTGGAAGAATGACATTATAACCCAAATAACGTGCAACAAACCACCACTAAATACACCTAAAATCTGACCTAGCAGGATCAGTTGACTGTGACATGCACAGGCGAGGATAACACTGTGTCTGGTGCCCCCTGACCCCAGGAGAGGCTCCAAGGAACTTGATGTAACATAAAACATGTCCCAAGGCCAATATTCTATGTTAAAATTGTGGGAATTAAATTTTAAATCATCTCTACATTAAGTACTTTGTTTGGGAAAAGAGCAGTAGAAAAAATAATGGAAGCTGCACTGATAAAATATTTTCCATTTGTACAGTATTGATGTTGGTGGGAAGAGAGTGGGGTGGGTCAGTGGAATCAGTAATGAGTGAGAGAGCTTCAGTGTGGGGAAGAGTGTATGCTGGTCCTGAGTAGTTTATCCAGGACCTTATTGTTTCTTCCTCCAATCTGCCCTTTGTCTCTGGACACAGACCCATGCAGAATTGCTTGACAGCTCACTGGCTACTGCTTCCTGCTGGGTTCCTAACCTGGGTCCCACTAGCAAGATACTGGAGAGTGGGAGCAAGGGAGAAGCTTCATGTTTCTCATTCACTGTCTTGGGCAACAATTCTGGCAGCAGCAGCAACTCTGATGACTCTGTCTTCCACCAGACAGGCAAACATGATCCCCTTTCTAGCTACTCAACAGCCTTGGCACATGATCTCACCCTTGATCCCTTCCATAGCTTTGTATTCACCATTTTGGGGCTGGAATTCTCAGCTCTTCCATTGGCTGTACTCTGTTCAAGTGGATTAAATTCCTTCTGGTCTAAAAGATTACATAAGTTTCTATTTTCTGGTTGGACCCTGATTGATAAAGAAAGCAAATAAAATATCTATGAATCATATATGGTCTTTGTACAGCTCCACCTGATAATAGACTGCAGTGATGACTAGAATGCTAGACAGGAAGAAATTACAAAGAAAGACAAAGTTGACATAGATGAGGGGTTTATGGGTCAAAAACTAATGAAGAGACAGAAAGAAAATAGGAGAAAGTAGGAAACATAACAGAATGGATAAACTAAAAAATAGGGTAGGACAGCAGGGCCAGGACTAGGGTGAGGCAAGAAGACCCTGGGACACATGTAAGGAGGAGCTCACCCTCAGGACATCTTGTGCCCTGTGTACCTTCTTTGCTTTACCTGAGACCCTGTTGGCCCTGGTGGGCAATGATAAAAATGTAGAAAATAGTTTAAGGAGACAAAGACACAGCAAGAAATGAATATGAATAAATAAAAACTGGGAAGGGAGACACAAAGATACCTGTGTTGAAGTGAGTAAAGGACAATGAATGAAGAACTGGCAGGGAGAGGACCAAGCATTGTCTGATTGGAGGAGACAGTCACCCCAAAGAGGGAACAGTGGGCTGCTCCTGACACCCCTGAGAAGGTAAGATGTCCACAGTGATCAAAGTGGCCCTGGAACCCTCTCAGATAAAAATAGGCTGCTACTTGAAAAGTAGAAATAAAAGTAAAAAATAATAATGAAACCCAGTGGAATTAAAGGGAGAAGGGCTTAATTGTAGTGAAGGTGCTCACTTCCTTTGGGGAGACAGACAAAATTCTTCCTTAATTGTAATTAGGTTCAGGAGCAGAGCTACCCCATCATGGAAACTGATCAATTCTTGCTCTGTAGATCTTGTGGATATAATGAAGGAAAAGTCATTTTTTAATTCAGGAGATGAATAGAAAGCCCAAACAAGGGCTAACTTTAACCCAGCATCTGATATAATAGGCAACATTGACTGGAAGAATGTGTGATGTGAATCATGGTAGCAGGCAGGGGTCTGAAGCACATCATATGGCCTATGGAGGCTGTGCTGGTGGCCTGGGTTAGAGGTAGGGAAGGGAGGGGATCAGTGCCTTATGTAGCACGTTCAACAGAAAAATGTGCCCTGTAATTGAAAAAATATAAAAAAGAAAAGGTACATTTATGTGTTGATGTCAGAAAGTATTTTCTATGTTCAAGGCAAATAATTCAGAGAGCCAAGATATTCATGAAAGGAGATTTTTAAAAAGACAGAGGAAGACAACAAAAGATATAAAGGGATACCATCACTAGAAGCAAAAATAGGCTAAACCAAGAGGAAGTGAAAATTAAAATAAGAATGAAAGAAAGAGATAGAATGGGGGTGGAAGTAATAGCAAAGTTAAGAGACAGAATGAGGGTGGGGATCAGAGGTAGAGTGAGGGTGGAAGTAGGAGACAGGGTGACTGTGGGGTAAGAATCACTGAAGAATGAGCACAATTGCCCTCTGTGCCTGAATCTCACACCTTCTGAGTAGGACCTGGAGCAGCCTGCAGGCCACACATGTTAGGGCACAGACCAGGGGGACCTGAGTTAACTTAGCTTCTAGGTCTTCCTTGTGCTCTGGTCATGAGGTTTCCTATCAGTGGGCTCCTTGGAACCTCCCTGAAACTCTAAGGGGATTTTGTCCTCTGTGCAGTGACCAGCAGTGAGGACTCTGTGGAACGTAGAAACAAAGAACAGCCTCCCAAAGCTTCCACCTCAGCACTGAAAAGAAAACCAGGTAAGGAGGTGGGAGCTCAAGGCTTGGGCTGCAGGACCTGAATTAAGAGCAACTCTTTCCTGGGCCATGTGGTGAGTTCATGATGCAGTATGGATCCAGTTTATCTTGGAATCTGGCTCTCTGCATTTATTTTACTTAACCTTTAGGGAATGCCCAAGGAGATAAAAATTCATTATGTTTATGTTTTTTGAAAATGGGGCCTATTTATTTATACGTCCTATTAATCAACCTATGCATCTATCTATTGATTATATAGTAAAAATAGGCTAGCAAAGTAATGAATTTGCCTGAAAACTAAGTCTATGACTCTAAAGTGTTGGTTGGATTTTACAGTGGTTTCCATAGAGAAAAGAATGCTAAGTATATGTTTATTGGGAGGCCATATTGTCATCAGGTCACAAACTTTGAGTAGTGTCAAGGGCCAATTCCTTCAGTTATCTAGTGTTAGCAGAAATGGATAAGAATTTTGACACCCAAAGCATTGTTTTTGACAGAGTTCTTCAGCAAGTTATGAACATACAGTGACTTTTCAAAGGACCTTTGCAAATATTGTCTTACTTTTTCCTTTACAGAAACCCTGAGGGGTAAACAGGATGGACAGTCCTACTCTGGTTTCTAGATGAGGAAACACAATCACATGAATGTTTCAAGGTCTTCCTCAAAGTCTCATGGAGAAAAAGAGAAAGACAAGACTAGCAGGCTGGATGCTGTGTTGTTTCCCTTGCAAACCCAGAGCTCAAAACAATTACCAAAATGTGGTTTCCTCAATTCTATGCACAGCATGAGTAATCATTAGATCTGTAGCTCTTCAGCATACAAATTGGAGATTGGTTTTCCATTCTTACTTCCTCAGAGGATATTGTAATCATGTCTACTTAGGAAAACACACTAAGTCAAGATTCTAAAAACAAATAAAAATATTCCCTGCTCTTGACATTACAAAAGAACAATATTGCAAGTAATACTTTTGTTCTGACAGCTTCTTATATCTATCAATGTATAATGTAAGTTTGCTTCAGTTTTTAGGGAGTGTACTTTCTGACTTGTGTCTCAGTGTAGGCAAACTGCACTGAAAGGTGATCCAAACATAGGTCTATGGCTCAGACACAAAAAAAGATATATAATCTTTTTGTCTCAGCCTTTCAAAAGATTGAAGGGGCACCACAGTGTATAGGAGGTTCTCTACCTTCAGCACAAAGTATCCAAGGCCTGCTTACAAAGCAACAGCCAATGAGTACATTGTGAAATGACAATTGAAGGGGTAGGAGGAGGAAGAGAGAGAGGTATAGGAAGGACAGGTTCAAAGAGAGCAATGAATTGTCTCTGCTCTGGGGACAGGGAAAGGAGCATCAATATCCTACAAGGCAGATGACCTAGAAGAGCAGTGCAGGTGGCCTATGCAAAGGCCATCATATACATGGATTTTCAAGATATTCCCCAGTGTATTAGAGAATTTCCTGTTGAATTGTCTCCGTGGCCACACACTGAGACACCTAGTGAATCCTATTCTTCTGTGCAGGGATCAATAACCTTGACTCCTTAGAATGGAGGAAAGGGGAAAGACAAAGTCACCTGTTCATGATTCTAAAATGCACCAGATAAGACATATTTCTGGACAACAAAATCCAGAGTCCAAATCCAGAGCTCTGTCTTCCCAACAAACCTTATTCTTACATATGCATTGATTCAATTACTTCTAGGGCATCACTATTAGCATTTAATGTCTTTGACCCTATTGGAATACAAAAGAGGGAAAAAGGACATTATGAACTATTGTTCAACTGGATGAGTCCAATCAATTGGTATTATGGCAACATAGCAATAATACACTAAACTGATAAATGACAGTCTTTTTTACTACACACTGTCATATTGATTATAGCTAGAGATTGAAAAATATACTTCATCTGTATCAACATGTTTTATATTCTACAGAGAGTAGTAAGCATAGTATTTCACAATTTCCTAACAATATTCTCATTAGTACAAAACTTGGAAAGTCTTCATAGAGTCATTGGTGCTGCTATTTAGTTATTGATGAAAAAAGTGGCTCAGACCAATTGAGAAGTAATTCTCAAACCCAAATAATACTTACACAATTGGCTTACATTTTGATTTTTCACAGTACTATTGTGAAGATAGGTTCATTTTGTTTTCACAAATACCTTTACAGGGATACAGACAGGATAACTAGGTTATTTCAGTATTACAGATGAGGAAACTGGAGGTAATGTTTGAAGATCATTTACAAATTCACATATAGAAGTAAAGAGGAGAGCCTGTCAGGAATCCAGTATTATGACTGTGGGCACCAGAACTGGGTTCAGTTCAAGGAAAGAGGAAAATGCTCATTTCAAAATTGAGATGATCACAAACCCTATCTGCTGTGTGAGTTATCATGGATTATGTAAGACTGTTGCTAACAAATAACTGTTTTCCTCCTCTTACTTTATAGAGTCTATGAACTTAAGAAGGTCATCTACATCTGAAAACAAAACTGGAAAAAGAGGTAGGAGCAACTAACAACTTTTCATGGTTACAAATGAGCAGTGTTTTCTACAAAAAAAATTCTTCTAATTCTTTGCTATACCTTTTATAGTAAAATATAAATTTATTTTAATTTAAGATAGTTCATATTTTATCTTTTATATTAATTAGCCTGGTTGCTATGACCAAAAAAAAGGAACAAACCGAAAGAGGTCAATGTCCCAAACACAGTAGAATTTAAGGGGAGGGTCAGGACTCTATTTCACAAAGTAATCCTGGGAAGCAGCCAAGTGACAGATCTGCCTTCTTCAATGCCAAATTTGTAAGCCCGCCTTAGGAAAGAAGCAGAGCTAATAATTAACACAGTTACAGACACAAACACAAATCCATAAAGTTACATGTAAAGGAAGGAAGAGAATGCAGTGCAGAATGCAGAGGGCCAAGAAAATGCAGAGGAGCACTTGAGAGAGAAAGATCTCCACCCCAGGCTCAGGGAACAGTGATGATAAAGTACTGACCTACAGGTCCAGTGAATACAAAAGGCAGGTCATGAGGGGTTGAGGGAGGGGCAAGCTACCCTGTGTTTTCAGAGCTTCCCAACTTTTTTACTGAGTTCCTTGTCACACACTGAGACCTTCAAGGAACACTTGCTCTTTCTGCAGTGAGAACTCCTGAAGCATCTTCGGGGTTCAATGCAAAGGAGAAGCTCCCAGAAGCCGGAGGCTCTGCAGTGAGAAGTGGTGCTGACCAGGAGGGTAAGGACCACCATCGCTGGGCTCCAGGATGGCAGGAGTCTGAGGTCAGGGCTCCTGTTCCTCTGAGCACACCTCACTTGTGGGAGCACAGTGCTGCCTTGTTCTCATGTGGCCACCGTGAAGACTGCAAAGAACAAAATTAACTAACAAAATAGAAACAGACTCAGAGATACAGAGAAAAAAAGACAGGTGTCAGATGGGAGAAGGTAAAGGGGCTGGGTAAAAAAAGGGTTTAAGCAGATAAAAGAAGAAGAAAGAAAAGAAAAGAAAAACTCATACATAGACAAATAAAACGGTATGGTGATCACTAGGTGGAAGTAGGTGGGGATATGTAGAAGAGAGTAAAGGAGGATAAATGGTGATGGGAGGAGACTTGGCTTGGGGTGGTGAATGCACAACACATGTGCAGATGATGTGTTATAGAATCCTACACCTGAAACTTACATAATTTTATTAACCAATGTCACCCCAATCAATCCAATAAAAAATAAAAGTAAATAAAACTGCAAAGAAAGAAATCACTTAAATTCAGGCTTAACAAGATGGCTCTGAAACCACAATGAGATACCACTTTACACTGGTCAGGATGGCTGTCATAAACAAAGCATGAACAACCTCAACCAACAACAAATGTTGGAGAGGTTGTGGGGAAAAGGGGACCTTAGTTCACTGTTGGTGGGATTACAGACTGGTACAACCATTATGGAAAACACTATGGAATATTCTCAGAAAAATAAAAATCGACCTGCCTTTTGCCCCAGCAATTCCACTGCTAGGATTATATCCTAAGAATCCTAAAACATCAATTTCAAAGAACCTATGCACCATAATGTTCATAGCAGCACAATTTACAATAGCCAAGAGTTGGAAGCAACCTAGGTGCCCATCAGTAAATGAATGGATCAAAAAATTGTGGTACATTTACACAACGGAATTCTATGCAGCAGAGAGAAAGAAGGAACTACTACTCTTTGCATCAACATGGATGGAACTGGAAAGCATTATGCTGAGTGAAATAGGCCAGATGTTGAATGACAATACCATATGACCTCACCTTTAACAGGAAGCTAAACAACAAATCAAACAAGCAAGCAGAATAAAAACAAAGACACTGAAATAGAGAACAAGGGGACAGTGACCAGAGGAGAGTGGGAAGGGAATTTAAGGGGAAAAAAAGGAGGGATTTGGAGGAACAAATATGAAGGACACAGGGATGAGAACTAAGGGGGGTGGAAATGGGAGGCAGGTGGGGAGCATAAGGCGGGGGAGGCTGGGATGGAAGAAATAGACAAAAAACTCTACTTGAAAAATAACTAAATAAAATTTTTAAAAAAAGAAAATCAGATGGCTCTAGCAGGACAGCAGGGTGCCCTTACTTACTTCATGCTCAGAAGCATGCCATCCCCCCAAGTACTAGATCACATAGTGATGTTCACATACTCAGCGCCTGTTCTGTACAGAACAGAGACAGCTGGACAGTCAGCTAATGATCAGTTTTGTCACAAACCTGTTCATAATTCAACAGACTCTAATTATTTTCTAGTTATGGACACAAGGAAAGGTTTTTGGTTATGACCATTAAGTTCCATTTATAGCTTTTGACAGATGACCCTCAACATGACATGGGCCTATATAGTCATGTTTCAACATGGCTTTGCCAAAAAGGGTATCTTTTTATGTTTACAACAGACTCAAAGTTAGGCCAGATAATCATTGCTCCCTGATTTCACCATTGGGGAGTCATTAGTTTGTTCCCTGTATCTATGAGGTTTTCAGGATCTTTACACAATCACATGGAGTGTTACCTTTATTCAAAACCTCTGAATGCAGATGTAAAATAGTCAGGTTTTATTATTTTAGAAGAAAGCTGTGATTTATATCCTGTATGTTACAAAAGACCCCAACAGTGCCTGGGGCAAAATCTTATTCTCAAATATGTCAATGTTACTGCAACAAATTGTGTGAATTCACACCAAGTGTGATAAATTAAAGATTCTACATGGACTCATGGCAGCTAAGTCCAACTTCCCTGCCAAGTGACTTAGCTGCAAACCTATGAAAAACCATTGGTTTTCAAGAATTCTTTGATCTCACATCTGGGATGAAGGATTGTGAGTCTTGCTTTATTTTGTAGCAATCTCCTTCCTTTAGATGAGTAGAGACAGAAATGAGCATCAGCACATCTTTATGTCCCAAATCCTTCAACTATGTGAAGAGTCATTAAGATTTACCATTCTTTCAGTTATAGAAGATTGGCTGTATTTTCCTTTGCTTCCAAACCCTGTGGATATTGAAAACATACCTATTGAGGGAATAGGCAATGGAAAGAAACCTAAGAGCAAAGATAACTAATAGCTTTCTCGGTTACAGTAGCTTTATTCAGATATTCTTGTTTTTTCCTTTAAATAAAAAGTAGTGATTTGTTGGAATTTTAGATGGTACACAACAAATATAATGCATTTGGTGGGCTGCTGATTGGTATAAGAGGTCAATGGCACAAGTGCATTTGCGTTCAAATAAAAGTATACCTGGGTGACACCTATATACTGAATAGGCCTGCTTTTTGGGGACCCAGCTGAGGGGGCACTGACACCTCATTAAAGGACCTGGACAGGATAGAATACCTGTTGCAATCCCTGCATAAACCGAAGTACAGAGGCATTTAAGGTATATTTCAAAGTCATGTTGAGAAATTAAACAAGACCCAGGGCCCATTCCACACTCTTAGTTCTCAAGAAATCAGACATCCTTATACTCATATACTTAGATCTTCTGCAGGATGAGCCATCCCAAGACCTGTAACTTTTATTTATTCATTTCTGTTTTCTCACCACCATCTGTTATTTTCCAGGTTTCATGGATCTTGGAAACAAGTCTGCCTTACCAAACCCCAAGAAAAGAAGAAGTAAGAGTGAATAAAATTTTACTTACTTTTAATGTGAGAAATTAGTTTAAACACCAGAGTTTCATTATTATTATTATTATTATTTACAATATTATATTCAGAGCAATGATGTTCCCTCAAAGATGTCTATGGCCTAATCCCTGAAACCTATAATCTGTTAGCTCACATGGCAAGTGAACTTGACAGATGTGATTAAACTAGGGACCTTGAAATGGGGGAGATTTCCCTGGATTACCTGGGTGATGCCAATATACTCTAGAGCCCTTAAAATATGGAAAGCCTTTCTTGGCTATGGAGAGAAGAAGTGACTATGGAGGAACCGTCAGAGAAGTGCAATATCACTGGCTCTGCAGATGGAGGAGGGATCGGGGAATGTGGGGGACCTTAAGAAGCAGGAAAAATCAAGAAAGCAAATTATCCCCCTACAGCCTCTAGAAAAGAATGAAGGCCTGCTAAAAAAGTGATTTTATCCCAGGGAGTCATTGACAGAATTCTTACTGACATTAATTGTAATATGATACATTCCTGTTGTTTTAATCCATTATTTGTAGTAAATTGTTATGGCAGAAATATAGATATAATACAGACTTTGGCTCTGATAAGTGCCTTATGGCTATAAAACAATCCTAAAAATCTGTCAGTGTCTTTGTGCAGTGAGCAGAGGCTGGAAGGATTTAAATACAATGATTTGTAAAAGCCTACATGGCCTTGAGCAATTTGTCCTTAGATATGTGGATGCTGCAGATCTAGAAAGGACTCAGAAGGAGAGAAGGATCTGGGAAAGAAAACCTATCCTCTCTCAGGAAATATAAATTATCCTCAACAGCACAGATGTAGAGGTTATTGGTGTGACTGGTGAGGGTCAGAAGGAAATAAAAAACATGTGTTTGGGAATTGGAAGAAGATCCTTATTATAAAATGACTGAAGGCATAGGGAAACCCTGTTCTGTAGATATGTGGAAAGCAGAACTTTCTAGAGATTTCTAGGAGATAGGAATGTAGCAGTTTTCTTTTTGCTGCTTAAAATAAAATGTGAGAGGAAAGATAAACTGAGGGGAGAACTGTTTTTCTTTTTTTTTTAATTTTTATTTTTTTAATTGATTATGCTGTTACAGTTGTTCTATTCCCCCCTTCATTCCCCTCCACCCTACCCCCCCATCCCCACCATTACCCCGCTTTAGTTTATGACCATGTGTCTCAAGTCCTTTAGATTCTATATTTCCCATGCTATTCTTGCCCCCCCCATCTATTTTCTTTCTACTGTCTATGCTACTTATTTTCTGTACCTTCTCCCCCCATCTCCTCCTCCCACTGCCCTGTTGCTAACCCTCCTTGAGATCTTCATTTCTATGTTTCCACTCCTGATCTAGCTGTCCTTTTAGTTTGCTTTCGTTTTAGGTGTGGTTGTTAATAACTGTGAGTTTGTTGTCCTTTCACTGTTCATGTTTCTTTAACTTCTTTTTCTTAGATAAGTCCCTTTAACATTTCATATAATAAGGGCTTGGTGATGATGAACTGTTTTTCTTTAAAAAAAAAAAGGAATCAGGACTTTATGGTTTGGATTATTGCTAGCTTACTCAGGTTGCAAAAGATGCTAAAATTGAAATTCACTGTCAGGTTAAGTGTGCTCTGCAGAATGACCAAGAATGTGGCATAATGACTTTTTGCTGGAACCTCAGAAGTAAGAAAAAGTCAGAGTGTCAGTCACAGAAAGATTCAGTGATGAGATGATGCGTGTGACTTACTGATCCCCTCAGCCATCTCAGCAGAAGCCAAAAATTGGTATGTGGTTATGTAGACAAGATCTGTGCAGGAGCCTTTTGTCTAATGGTGCAGATCCCCATGACATACATGGGAGACCTATTCAGTTCTTGAGAATTTTATACCAACAGAAACCGAGCTATCCATGCACAATCCCAGAATCTGCAATGTGTTTATTTTTTTACCTTTATTTTTATTGTTGACACTATTACAGACGTCCCCATTTCCTGCCTTTATCCACCACCACCCAGCACCCATCCTCCTTCCCTCTGGCCCTCACCACACTGTTGTGTGTGTCTGTGTGTTAAGCATATATGTCTGTTAGGTAATCCCTTCCCCTTCTTCCACCCAGTCCATTTATCCTCCCTCCCCTCTGACTGCTATCAGACTGGTGTCTGATATCCAGTTTCAGCTGTTTAATTTTTGCACATGACATTAAGTAAGGCCTTTGGCGGTCAGCATATAGATATCCTATTGACCCTGCACCATTTACTGAAGATTATCCTTTTACATTGAATCAATTGCTTTTACGTTTTGGCTAATGGCAAAAGTCATTTGGCCATACAACTAGGGATGTATTTCTCTATTTCTTTTTCTGTTCTATTTTCCTATATGTCTATCTTCAGGTCGATATTCTATTTTCTTGATTACAACAGCTTTATTATGAGTCCTAAAATCATGCACTAAGATCTATAATTCTCTTTCTCTTTTCCAAAATGGTTTTAGCTGTATTAGGCCCTGTGTATTTGGTAGCTTCCTCTTTCTTTCTGTTTAGCCACTTTGAAGATCACGTCATTGTCCAAGGTGCCTGCTGAATGCAGCCACCTAGACGTGCTCTAGGCCCTTAGGAGAAATGGAGAAGAGCAAGCTCTACCCTCCCTCAGAGACCTGTCCCTCTTGTGAGAGGCTTTCCTAAAGTTCCCCACTTCCCACATCTTACTCATCACATCCGATACAGGTGGTCCTGCCAGCTATCAGTGAGGTTATGAACTATGGTATTTTGTCTGGACTCTGACATCTCCAAGAATGCAGATGTTCTGTTAGTAAATGAGAAATTAAAAGTAGATAGCTGGAATACAGTATGAAGAATTGACTCTTTTAGCTCTTAAAAATTTGTTGAAAGTTCCTTTGGAATCTCATGTGTGATCCATATTTATAAATGTTTTCTGTCCCTTTAAAATATGCACATTTGAACTATTTTGGTGATCTGGCTTCTCCCCATATACATTCTCTTCATGAAGCACAACTTGGTTGTTTAATCTCCTGGATGCACGGTCAGTGAGTTTGTTCATGTCCCATCATGTCATATAGAGATGTAGTAAATGCTCCCACTTGACTGTGTATTTGACAATTCCTCCTGTTCTTTTTTTTTACTTGAAGTACTTTGAGGCTATTCCTGACTGTTATTACTTACTTTAATTTCTTCTTTATAATTACCCAGTGTTATTCTTTATCCTTCTTAATACTTTTTGCTTTCAAATCTTTATTCAGCTTGGGAGTATTATTACATTAACTTTTATGTTTTATGTATTTCACTGCCTTTTCATTAAGTCCCCCAGGCAGTTTATGTTGAGCCTCATAATGACACTTTGCCTCTTTCAACCTTCTCTGATAAATGTGATCCTTTAATATGATTTTATTATTATTATGATTCCTGATATATGGGAACTTATGTATTCTATGTTCTTGTTAACCATTTCTTTGGGTTCGTTTTCTCTTTTTTCCTCATTGATTGAGGAAAAATTCTGATTGATTGAGATATAATTTCAATCATTCTGATTGATTGAGATATAATTCCATATTCCATCATTTTTCTCTTCTAGTTTGGAACTTGGAGATAGAATTTCTGCAGTCTCTTCAACTATGCCCTAATCTCAAACGAGTCATTGATCTCAGCACGAATATTCTCAACAGAACCTCTAATCTCCATCATTATTGTTTAACATTTTGTTACTTCCTTTCAGTCATAAATTTAGAAACTATTGTCATTTTGTAGTCAATATTTCTTCAAAAGAAGTTTTCATCATATTATACACTTATCATTGCTTCTTTCCTTTGGTTTTACTTTGTGTCTAGTAGAATTAATACCTGTTTATTTTAGTAGGCTGTCTATGTGGCAAACCTGCCAGTGTTATATGTGCAAATGTGCCTTCGATTTGAAAGAATTTTTAAATAGAAATATCTCTTCAGTATGCCAATAGGGTTATTGGTTGTCTTTCAGAATGTATTGCATGGGTGATTATTTCTTTTTTGTAATTCATCTTTCATTTTTTGCTTAATAGCTACTTTTCTTACCAAAATATTATTTTTCAACTATCAAGTTGTGAAAATTTTAGGGCCACTGAAAACCTGAAATATTTTACTATAAACATCAGAATACTTTCCATCAATGCAAAATTAACACTCACTGTTCTTGCTTTATCACATTTCTGTCCATCTATCCATTTCCCTATCCATCCACTAACCATCCTCAGGTTTGAAACATTTCAATTTGCAGGCATCAGTACATTTCTCTCCAATCCCTGCAACATACAGCATATTAACTAGACTGCAATGCTTTTCTGCAGTGCTTTTCTTTGTCTCTTGACATGAAATGTATCATTTACAATGAGATACACAAATATTAAGAGTTATGATAAAAGTATTCTCTTGTAAAATCCAATCTTTATGAAGATACAGAACGTGACCATCACCTTGGAACCTGAGGAGCTCTCCCCCGGGAGAGGAGGGACAATTCACTACCCTGAATATTTCAGGAGTGAGATGTTCTCTCTTTTATATTAATCAGGTAACATTAACTTTAGCTTGCAACAGTGTTTATTAAATCAAAATTTCTTGAAAAGATACCCTGAGACACATGGAAATGCCACAGAAAATTACCTCCCAACAAGCTCACCCCACATAACAGAGTCTTGCAGTGTCCCCAGGAGGACACCACTCCACCAGCAACTCTAATTAATATCACCAGTGGTGGCTGAGACCCAATCCATTCATTTGTTTCCTGCAGTGTTTACCAAATCCCTTCTACTGTAATTGCTTTAGGATTTTGTGATCATTCTTATGGTGCAAGTCACCATGTTTGTATCAGAGAGACAAGTGAACACAGTGCCCTGAAAGGGAAGTGTTCACCACTGTCGAGGTCTGTAAGGATGTGCATATACATCAGTTGGGAGGTGAGGGGACAGACATGCTCTCCAGTCTGGGCCACTGGTCAGCTATAGGTCTTATGAGCTTTTGCTTCTGTTCACTTTTTCTAGTTTCCAGTGGGGCAAGATGAAGGCAAGGTCACTGGCTAAGGGCCATCTATCCAATCTGCCTCTTGTGTCCATGACACCAGCCAGGTCACATTGGTTCTTTTCAAAGCCCTCCACCAAATGACTAAGAATCTATGTGGGGGACATTGCCCAGAGACATTCTGCATGGGATTTCAGATGCTGGCACCAGCCCCTGTTTCCTTGGATCAGATGCTGAGTGGCAGACTCAGCATTCACGTGGTGAAAGACCGGGACCAGGTGGTTTCATTCTCTAGGGACGACTCAGGACAGCTCTGAATGTCAGATATCAGTAAGGCCTCTCCACCTCCAATACCTTTCTAGGTGTTTCCTCCTCAGGTGCCTGGATCTTTGTTCTTCCTTCACTGTTATGAAACCTGTGTGTACTATTCCACTGGCTCCAGCTTTATCTTGCTTTTAATGATCTCCTACTGTCACTGAAATCTTTTATCCAGAAGGGTCAGACATAAAAAGGGCTAAGGCATTTCCAAAAACACGTGAAAAAAACTAAATCTGAATCATCTGGGCACTCCAATGACTCCACCTTTCAGGCTGGTTGGGGAAATAATGAGGCATCATTCCCAGCAAGGGTCAGAGCAGAATCCAGAATTTTTCAGAGTTGTTCTCTCTAACACCATTAATCCCCCCATTCACTTTTATCCTGATCACAATGCAGAAAGAAGCTGGCTCTTTCTGCCTTCCTTGGGGACAGCTGCCTTCAGTGACCAAAGAGCCCTAACAGAGAAGTGTGTGGACAAGGGAAGATGAGGTCTTAGACTTAGATGGTCAGAGCATTGGGTATAGCCTTTGATAAAGGGCACACCATTGTCAGACTACAAATGGTCCAGACACCCATGCAATTTGCAGATTGTCTAGAACTTTCTGAGTCTCCCTTTCAGATTTGGAGAAAGCTGATTGAGGGAGAAATAAGGCAAAGTAGTAAACACAAACAGCAGGCAGATACCATCTCCATTAGTTCACCCCATCACTGTCTTCTCTGCTCAGGAGTCAGAGCTCACACAGGAAGAGGCAGGCATAGTCTGGGACTTTGCCTCCAGTGACCTAAGTGCAGGGAAAGAGCCCAGCTGCAGAGCTGCCTTCTACCAGGACAGCAGTGTCACTGCCATGTAAGAATCAGGGGGCTGACTACATGGGGAGCTAAGACAGTTGTACTGGCGCCTCTGGCGCCAGTTGTACTGGTGTCTCTGTTAAAGCGTTCTGACTGTGGGGGGTTTGAGAGATGTAATGAAGGTAGACTTTCTGTGGTTACGTACCAAAAATGTCACTGAAAAATAGGCTCTGAAACTCTGGAGATTTGTGGAATAAAGTTTCCTTAGTACCCCTGTGACTTTGTAGAAACAATAACTACATGGTAGGAAGTTCTCCATGTACAATTGTTAATTGAGACAGAATGAAAAATCTTCTTTTTCAGGGGCAAGACAGCAGCCAGGTGTGTCTGTGAATTTTCGTGCTGAAATACTTCCTGTGACCTGTGGAGAGATGAGGGGCCTGTTAATTAAGAGAAAATTGGAACGAGGTAGGTTTCAAGGTTTACTTTAATTTGCAGCCCCTCTGTGAAGGAATTACATGAACTAATGGAATTACCCATGTGAAATTCCTGTCATTCAAGGAATTGAGGCCCCACTGTGGCTTGAAAGAAGGAAGGGGTCCCTAAGATGATAGTTTTACACCATAAACAGTGGTGCATATTAAGTGCTCACCCCCATGTGGCAGTGCCCGTGAGGATGCCCAAAGAACCAAAGACAAGTGCAGGAATGTCAGTCTCTGTGTGGAAATGTTGCACATTTTACTTTGAAGCAGATATAACAGGGAAGAGGCCCTCAGTCTCCACGTTCACATCCTGTGTCCCATCTGGGTAATCACCACCAGGACAGAGCATTAGACTTAATGAGGAGACCACAGTGTTTAGAATCAGAAAACCTGATTCCAGCCTCATCTCTGCTGAGAGTGACACTGTGAAGAATGGGGCCTTCCTGAGCCTGAAACTTCCCATCTAAGAAATGGAAAATAATTACAAGTCTGCCTCCTGCTGTGACTTTGAGAGTTCTTTTTTATATGGATATAAAGTTTTTTGTAATTTTAACATTGTAACACTTGAAGATTCTGGTCTCTATGATGAACTTCATATCAGATTATTAAGGTTTTATTTATTTACTTTTTAGAGAGAAGGGGAGGGAGGGAGGAAGAGAGGGAGAGAAACATCAATGTGTGGTTGCCTCTCATGCTTCCCCTACTAGGAAACTGGCCTGCAACCCACGCATGTGCCTTGACTGGGAATGGAAACAGCAACCCTTGGTTGACAGGACCGTGCTCAAGACACTGAGCTACACCCGCCAGGGCTCACATTATTTTTGATATGGCTATGAGAACACTAAGATGAATAAATATTTTTATCATAATTGTTTTTAAATAATTTCCCTGAGATACAATTCACATATGTATAATTCACCATTTATAGTGTAGAATACACTGTTTTTTTTTATTTTGTCCATTCACAAGATTATAAAACTATCATCACAATATAATTTTAGAACATTTTGTCCCCACTAAAGGAAACCCAATGCCTGTCAGCTGCCAGTGCCCATTCCCACCCCAGCTCATCGCCCACACTAAGCAACAATTAATCTATCTTCTATGGATAAATCAGCCTATTTAAGCATTTTATCTCAATTGACTCACATAACATCTGCCTTTCTGTCACTGGTTCCTTCACTTAGCATGAAGTTCTCAAGGTTCATACATACAGCGCCATGTATTATATTTCATTCTTTTTTATTGTCATATGTGAGCCATAATATGGATATACAATATTGCATTTATCCTTCAGTAAGGGTTTTCTCATTCTTTAGCTATCATGAATAATACTGTTTTTATAAAGTGTTTTTGTGAACATATTTTTAAGATGCTTTTTAGTATATACCCTGGAGTAGAATTGAAGGATTATGTGGTAATTCTATATTTATCTCATTGAGAAATAAAACAAAGTATTTTTAAAATATTGCACCGGTTTAATTCCCTGAGAGATCCAATCTCTGCATTCTCACCAACACTTGCTATTGTCTGTCTTTTTGTAGTGGCCATGCTAGTGCTTAGACTGTAATATTTCATTGTGGTTTAATTTCTTTTTATCTAATGATAATGTTGTTAAGTATATGGGTATCTTTTGCATATCAGTTAAATTTTCTACTGATTCATATTTCACAATTATTTTAGTATCAGCTACTCATGATTTCAAGGATGGAAAAATATCTGCTCAACAATGTTGGTAAAGTCAAAGAAAACTGTTGAAACACAGTAAATGGATATTGCCTTAGTTCCATTGTGAGCTGCAGGGCCCCACTTGAGATTTTATTCAAAGCAGCAAATCTCCTTGGAGGGAACTTAAAAGCTAGGTTTGGGGGTTCTGAAGTATGGAAGGGGAGGCCAGAGGCTTCTGCTATTGACCTTGAACCCAGATGTACGACATCAGATCCAAAGTGGTGGGAGGCCAACCTCTGAGCACTGAGGACAAAGAGGTGTCAGGATCAATGTACCTGATCTTACAGGAGCCACAAGGAAGTGCATAAGAACTGAGGATGGAAACTGGCTCACTCCCAGGGAATTTGAACTCAGAGGAGGCTATGAAAAAGCAAGTAACTGGAAGACCAGCCTGACCTGTGGTGGAAAAACCCTAAAACGGCTGATGGAGGTATTTCACTGACAGGGGCAGAAGGTGTAACTTCCTTTGTTGTGGTCAAAGATGAGGTCACTGTTTGCTCACCCAATGTATGGTGACTTGTGGCTGGAGCCTTCAGGCCCCAGACTTTATTCTTTTCCCAGGAGGAGGTGCCCCACATTCATACCTCAGAACAAGGGAACCCATCCATTTGTCAAAGGCACTCTGTCAGGTTGGCTGCAGGGGCTTGAGGGAAGGAAAACTCATTCTGACCCAGGTGCTTGCAGACAACTTTTGGCACTAAAAGAAAGAAGACAGTTTACAATCAAAAAAGTGGGCAGAACACACTCCAGAGAAAGAATGGTATAAACACCAGAAACACAGTCACCATGACTCTGTGAGTTGAGGTAGATGGATTGTGTGTGATACAGCATAATCCAGTAATTAGGGTTGTTTGCAGAGGGATTAAATGTCAGGCTAAAGAGTTTGAACTTGTAACATGGACAGGGCAGAACCACAGTCTCCTGGGGTGTGAAATGACATATTTAAAACAGTATTTCAGGCAACGTGGGGACTTGAACTGACTTCACTCTTTTAGACCAAGAAATGCATAGTCAACCTGCAATGTTCAGCTCCCCAGTCACTCCTGTCTGAATGTTCCCTGACCTGCCCTGGTCACCCCTTACCTGGGCCCCCTGAACTTTCAAGTAAGGCCCTTCTCACACTCTTATTCTTATCCTTCCACACATTTCCTTTGTCTCTATAGACCCCCCTAGGGTTTCTCCTTTATGTGCCCAACATTGTACAGAGGGAGGGACACCTGTAGGTGTGGGACCTGTGCATGTCAGTTATATAGCCCAGGTGTGAGGAGGCAGGTCTCAGTGGCACTGGTGGGAATGCAGAGGGGGTGAGAGGTGCCAAGGAGATTGTGAAGGAAAACCTCTGAAAAGTTATTTTAAAAAGCACAAAAGCAAGGAAATACTTTCCATGATGTATTTCTAGGTTCAGTGAATGGATCTAGAAAAAAGGTAAGGAGAGGGAGATGGTTCCTCAGTTATACAGCTGGGCTGTGACATGACAGTTGGACATTTGTGTACAAATATTCATAAGGAGGTTGGAATGCCAGTATCACAAAACTTAAACACAGGCTAAGCATCAACTTGGATCTTTTTTCTTTCAGCTTGGACTTCTCCGTCCACCTCCCATTACACGTGAAATCCAAAACAAGGTGATTATTACTTTATACAAGTTCTTATTCATAAGTGATTGTATATGTACTACATCATCTTTATGGTTCCTCAGTTGCATAATTAACTTTGTTTCTCTTTCTCATCTCCTGTGCCTTTATTTTATTTATGTACCTATGTACCTATGTATGTATGTACATATGTATGTATGTGTGTGTGTGTTTGGCATGCCTTCAGTGTTGCTCCACTGAACATTAGGTTGTATGCAAGGTTATCCTGGATTATAAACCATTTTAGATGGAGATGATAAGGAGCCATCAAAATAGATCTCATATAGCTGAGTTTTAGCTACACATGTAAATCTTGTAAAGTTATCAAAGTTGTAAAAGCAAACATTATTATGAAATACATAAAAACATTTTTAATAAAGTCATAGGGTCATCTTCAACTCAATCCCAGATTTGTTGATAAAGGTTACTATTTTCTAACTTTAATGAAATCTAATGAAAAAATGTTTGCTCCCCATCATCCAGATGAACCCGTCTGGTAGATCATCTATCTTGGGACAGATATGAAACCATATACTACTTCATGAGATAAAAGAGCATATTTCTTCTCTGATTACTTACATACTCTTTCATCCTTCAATAAAATATACACACAATCAAAATTTTTTCTCAAGCAGAAGTTATTGGCTAATTTTTTATGAGGATGGTGCTGTTGGGGAGGGATCCTTAAAGATAGATGTAGCTTAAGTGAGGGACAGACCTGGAAAATTGTTTACTTTGATGCCCTCCTTTAGCTCCACCTCAGGGTCTGTGCAGGCCTCCTTTCTACCTGTGAAAATTATTTCTTCTTCTGTGGAAGAAGGCTATGCAGGCAAAAAAAACACACATAATATGAATGCAGATCCAGGACAAAGTGATAGTTTTTACTACATTGGGAATGAATGAGAACTTGAGAAGGAGGAGAAGGTGTGAGGTGCCATTGTCACACACTTCTGGTAGAAATGGCTACCCAGGACATTCACAGAATTCTATGTTAGCTTACACAGAGCTGGCCACTGGGACTTCATCTAGCACTGGGAATGTAAGGTTCAGGTGTTTACATTACCTGATGTTCTGGGTCTTTTGAACACTCAGACATTGGGACATTTCACCCACTGGGTTTAGTAAAGAGAAGTTACTGTTGGACCTAGACAGTGACTATTGTGAAATTTCTATCATTCTCCATGTGCCTAGAGTTACTTTATCTGAATTACCTGAAGAAGCTAGCAACTTCATTGCCATAGGTTTTATCCTTATCCGTGGATGCAACACTTTGTAGCAACCAGGTTCAATTTTTCATATATTTTGTGTCTTTTCATCAAGAACCAAAGTGACTCTCAGTGGCAGATCTCAGGATGCATTACTACCTTGGTGGATCTTCTGTATCTTCCAGAACTTCTCTTGTTGATGGAGCCCATGGTTCCTGGAAACTTCAGTGTCAATTTTGGCACCAGATGACAGCTTCCTGTCATCAGATGAGGGCCACTTACACTCTCAGGTGACAGCTTCTGTGTGTTGTCATGTAATCTGAAATAATCAGTGACAACAATCATTTATTATATGCTAATTTGCTAAAAAGATAAAAAACAAATGTTCTCTTTTCCTAAGTGAAACAATACTCATTTATTTACTCATTCAAGATACAGTTACTGAGTGCATAGAAATGCTCAAATTCAATTATCTACTATCTAAACATAACTACTGGAGAGCAGGGACTCTAGAGTACCCAAGAGACAGGCTGTGACATGACCATCTCTCAGGTCAGTTTCCAGTGGGGCACATTAGTCTATGTCCTCTCTGCCCTGGGTGAGATAAAAGCTGAGGCTGCCTGAAGGGAAGGAGGCAAAGTCATTCTACTGATGGTACAAAAGCACTGCAAGTGTAGTGTGCAGAGGTCAGTTTCCTGTGAAAAGTCAGCCAGGTGTAATCTCAGGATGTGGATGAATGGAGAGGGGGGTGGCCCTCTGGAAGAAGAATTGGAGTACAGAGGACCTAGGATTCATTTTACCATTAGGATGGTGTCCTAGAAGAGCTGCAGGAGCGTTGGACTTCACTGGGACATGTGCATGGTTCTCAGGACCCTGAATAAGAGATGGCAATCCAGAGGGTTCTGTCATACTTCCAGTAGCCAAGAGTCTGTCAGGAGGAGAAGGCACCTGCTCCAGCAAGAGTACCCTCACTCCTGTCGATAACATCGATTTCTAGGATAGATAGTACAAGCAATTCAAAATGACTTACAAGATTCTCATGCATTAATAACCACACTTGCTCAGGCTAAATCTCAACTTAGGCTCTACTGGAATCACCTGAAGACATTTGGAAAATAACATTGCTTCAACCCCACTCTACACAAAAGTCTTATTTAACCATTCTAAGTTATCACTTGGATGTTAGAATTGTTAAACAGACTCTAGATGATTTTCATATACAAGTTATTCATTCTAAAATTTAAGGAGAATGCCAACACCTAAGCCCCACCCAAATCAATTGATCAGAATCTCTGACATCAGGACCAGGACACTGTTATTTCATATACTATCCTCAGACAATTCAAATGTATGGCTGGGCTAAAGAACAAGAGCCAAAGAAATAAGAGCTGGTCTTGATTAAAATGTATGAATGCAAGATTCTTATGCACTGCTTATGTTTGTTACTTCCTTGGTCTTCTGAGAAGAGGGTGGCCACTTTCTGGAGGGTGATGATGTTAATCTGTGAGTCCTACACTGAGGAGAAGGAAACTGTCCCCAGCCTTCCATGCTGGAGCAGTCTCAGCCCCACACTGGGCATGTGATTCAGGATTCTCCCAGAACACTGAATGGCAGCTCTTGGCAAGATGTCATTTCACACTTGAACTTTCTCATATACGGATGTAAAACAAATGACCAGACTTGATTCTGGTAAGACTTTTCACCAAAAACCCCAGAAGAATGTTCAGACTGATTCTTAATGACTTTTCATCCTTTATTATTTTCTAAATTAAGAAAAATAACATGGGTATGTTTGAAATTACTCGCCCACGGATTTCAAGAAGGACATTTCTGATCTTTGTGTGTTGTTCTCAGAGATATAATACAGACTTTGAGAAACACACCCCTCTTTTATGTATCAAGCTGGAAGCATTCTTTAAGGTCTCAGCTTCCCTATTTGCAGTGGACCCTACAGGGACAATGGATTTAACAACAACAACAATAACAAAGTCTATATTTTACTATGAGAAGAAATGGAGATACTTTGGATTTGGGAATCAAGCAAGAATTTGGACTCGGAATGGATTCTCAAGTTTGTAATTGAAAGTGTATGTTTTATGAGAAGGAAGCACCAGGAAAAAACATGTAGTGGGTTGGAGAAAGAAAATACATTATGTTTTGATTGGATAAGTTTGGTGTGTGATTTAGGGTCCAGGAGGAGACACTGGGTGAGCACAGGCATGTGCACAAAGGCAGGAGGCAGGGTGGACATAGGGGCACTAGAGACATAGCTATGTAACTGGAGCTTTGAGAGTGATTTAACAATCTGGGGCCAACCCAATGGCAGAAGAAAGTAACCTGGAGTACTCTTTCTAAATGTTGGAGGAGAAAGACTGAAGGTAACATCAGTGAGTCAAGGGAGTAACCCCAGGAGAAAGATGGCACAGAGCACAGGCATTTGGAGTAAGCAGAAAGAGTCACAATAGAGAAAGGTGGATGCTGTCATCCCTGCCTCCTCCTGCTCTTCAACAGTCCACTTCCCTCTTACCAGCATCATCAATGGGAGGGTCAGTCCCCAAATCAACCTCATTTGTGTCACCTCAGATGATCACAAGAAGGGAAAAATTTTTCCAACAGACCATGAGATAGACAGGATGTTTCTATCTGGGAGAGAACAACCTTCAGGAGGTTCTCAAACTTCTTAATTCTCTCTGTAGGCAGAACCAAGGAAGCAACCATGAGCTTATAGCTCCTAAAAGTTTGTCCTTCTTTTGTAAATGCTGGTTTTCATTTTTTAAGTGAGTTTGTTTTAATCACTCCATTCTTCACCCTACTGGTGAGAGAGACATATGCACTAGAAATGTGAGGGGATAGCAAGTAATAACATCTGTCACAGCACAGTTGGCTGGACAGGTGTTACTAGTCACATCTATTCCCAAACAGAGGAAAGAGGTCAGTGCCAGACATGCAGGCCTTACCAAGATCACCCCCAGGAACCAAGTGGACAATAGGGGGCTCAGAGTGCAGAGTGATCCCCTGGTTTCCATGGGAGGTAGTGGCTGGCTTGTGTCAAAGATTCCATGGCTCACAGAAAGCCGAAACCTGATATTTCAGGATGGGCAGGATCCGTGGTGGTCCCTTGACAAGGAGCATTATTTAGCTGTAGGACCTTATCCAGGGAAATAGAGTGGGAAGGGGAATGTGCAGATAGGCGTCCGAGGCCATCTCAGTGTTACCAGATGTCACAGCAGCACCTGACATTGAGCTTTAATATTATTCCTTACATTGTGTTTTCTTCATTAACAAAAAGCTCAGTCACAGGCCAGTTCATTGTCACAGATACACATATTTGTATATAACACAGTGTATCTTCATATCTGCTGTGCAAATTTATTTGGGTTTAATGAATAACAGTCAAGATTTTTATGAAAATATTATCAAATTTTATCTTCTCTAAGTAAAATTAAATCTGGTTAAAAGACACATATTGAGACTGGTAAGAAATCCAGTATCAGTTGATTGTATGTAGGTTGGGAGAGAGCTCCCTGTTCTGTTTACAGCACAAAGCACTTGCCACACTCCCTGGACACTCAGAGATGGAGGATCCACACCATACATGCCACCCTGAGTCCTGGGGCATCTTCCTCAGGCTTCCAGAATCAAAGAGCTCCATCTTCCCTGGCAAGACATGGTCATTTGTGTCCATGGTCTTCCCAACCCAAAGGCAATGTCACAGGGCCAGAAACCCTCCAGGCTTAGAACCCATAGTGCAGAAATCCCTACCAGGCCCTTCCACTCAGGGGGAGCCTACAGCCAAGAAAACAGGAAGTTTATTCCACCTTATTGATTCCCCAACATACCACCTTTCCATGATTTATTTCAGGCATTGTGTGTAGGCATAAGGATTTATCACTGTGTTTCAGAATCTTGATATTTCTGCAACGTAATAAGATGATTCAGATTCCTATGAAACCATCCTCTTCTTTCATTGCCTTTTTGTGTTGGAATCTCTGGGTTTTTGTTGTTTTAATTATTTTATTGTTGTTCAATTACACTTGTCTGCATTTTCCCCCCCACCACTCCCCCCCATCCCAGCCAAACCCACGTCTTTCTCTTGCTTCCACTCTTCCTCTTGGTTTTGTACATGTATTTTTTTTTTTGAATCTGTACCAGTGCTTTATTCAGATGGTGGGCGATATGAGAAGATGTCAAATTCATACCCTAACAGACCATCTTGTCTTTTCTTTCCAGAGCAATGTTTTTTTTAACTTTTTTAATTGATTATGCCATTACATTTGTTCTATTTCCCCTCCTCCATTCCCTTCCACCCGGCACACCCCTCCCCCACCATTCTCCCCCTTTAGTTCATGAACACATGTCTCAAGTTCTTTAGATTCTATATTTCCCCTACTATTCTTACCCTCCCCCCTATTTATTTTCTATCTACTGTCTATGCTACTTATTCTCTGTACCTTCTCCCCCCTTCTCCTTCTCCCACTCCCCTGTTGCTAACCCTCCATGTGATCTTCATTTCTATGGTTCACTCCTGATCTAGCTGTCCTCTTAATTTGCTTTTGTTTTAGGTGTGGTTGTAATAACTGTGAGTTTGCTGTCCTTTCACTATTCATCTTTTTATCTTCTTTTTCTTAGGTAAGTCCCTTTAACATTTCATATAGTAAGGGCTTGGTGATGATGAACTCCTTGAATTTGATCTTATCTGAGAAGCACTTTATCTGTCCTTCTATTCTAAATGAAAACTTTGCTGGATAGAGCAATCTTGGTTGTAGGTCTTTGGTTTTCATGACTTGGAATACTTCTTTCCAGCCCCTTCTTGCCTGTAAGGTCTCTTTTGAGAAATGAGCTGACAGTCTGATGGGCACTCCTTTGTAGGTGACTGTACCCTTATCTCTTGCTGCTTCTAGAATTCTCTCTTTCATTTTAAACTTGGCTAATGTAATGATGATGTGCCTTGGTGTGTTCCTTCTTGGGTACAACTTCTTTGGGACTCTCTGAGCTTCCTGGATTTCCTGGAAGTCTATTTTGTTTGCCAGATTGGGGAAATTCTCCTTTATTATTTGTTCAAATAAGGTTTCCACTCGTAACTGTTCCTCTTCCCCTTTTGGTACCCCTATAATTCGGATGTTGGAGCGTTTAAAGATGTCCTCGAGATTCCTAAGTCTCTCCTCATTTTTTTTTGAATTCTTGTTTCTTCATATTTTTCTGTTTGGTCATTTTTTCCTTCCTTCTGGTCTACTCCCTTGATTTGAGTCCCAGTCTCCTTTCCATTACTATTGGTTTCCTGTGCATTTCCATTCATTTCAATTAGTTTAGCCTTCATATGTTCCTCTAATTTGTGACTATAATCAACCAGTTCTGTGAGCATCCTGATCACCAGTGTTTTGAACTGTGCATCTGAAAGTTTGGCTATTTCTTCATCGCTTAGATTTATTGGCTCTGGGGCTCTGAGTTGTTCTTGAGCCATGTTTTGATCTGTTTGTGCCTGTTCCATACGAGGAGAGGTGCCTTGGTGTTTACCAGGGCGGGGGACCCAGGTCACTGGTTTGTGACGCTGTATGTGGGGGTGGGGTCAGAGAGGGAGTATTGGTGGTCCTCTCCGCTCGCCAAGTCTGCCTCAGTGCTCGCCCCCACGTGCTTATCCGAGCGCAAATGTGCGAGTCTGCTGCCCAGCGCCAGTCACTGGGGCCTGCAAGATCTGTCTCAACGCTCACCTCCTCACTGGTTTATCTGCATGCAAATGCGCTACCGACTGCAGACAGCCAGCAGCGCCTCTTCCCTGGGTTCCACCTGTAGCCAGCCTGCACCTGGGATCGGCACCCCCGCCTGCCTGTGCACCGCCTGGATCTTTTTTGCCCAACTGTCTCTGCTGCTGGCTTCACCCCTCTCACCGGTTTAGCTGAGTGGTCCATTATTTCCGGACTCTGTATTTGATTTTCTGTGTGGTTTGGTTATGTTTATTGTTATTAAAACTTTGTTGTTTTTAGATTTGGTTGTGCAAGAACGAAAAGTGTTCCCACCTATGCCTCCATCTTGGTGGAAGTCCTCTGTACATGTATTTTCTCTTTAGTAGTTCCTAAAAACCCTTCCCCCTTTTGTCCCCTTTTCCTTCCCTCTTGCTATTGTTAGATTGTTCTTAATTTCAATGTCTCTGGTTATTTTTTTTTTTTTTGCTTTTTTCTTTTGTTGTGGATCTCTAGATTTATAGGAAAAAAAATTCTCCACTCTGGTCACACAGGACATTCTTTCTGAACTTCACAGCAGACCAAGAATTCTTCTTCTGAATCCCCCCACTCCATGCTGTCTCTTCACAGCTCAGAGAAACACATGAGTCCCTGTGGGTTCACACAAAGACCATGAGTCCTAGATTCACACAGTGCTTATCATCAGGGGCCCATGGGAATGTGGACATTATTTTACCTTCTAGGAGAAAAAGTCAGACAAATGCAAGATCTGCCAGGATGAAGGAAAGCTCTTCTGCTGTGAAAATTGTCAGAGTTTCTTTCATGGGGACTGTCACCTCCCACCTGTGAACACAAAGAGGTTTGTGAGATGCAGCCCCCTGTCTCTTTTTATAGACCAATCCTCTTGCCACGCACACTCCCCCTTCTAGGTTCATCCTTGTTTCCTAATGGGGACAGGGTGGGGCTGAAGGTACAGGGTCCAGCAGCATGATTCTGGGAGCTGTTGAAAGACATTGGCAACAAGAGATTAATGTTCACTTTTCTCCTCTGGGGAGCAGGGGCCATGGACTGGGTTCTTCACCAACACACTACTACCATCCTTTCCAGAACTTTTCCAGCACAGACACCTTTTCATGAGAGTGGTGATGCCAATTGTTTGTTCTCTGGACTTATTCAGAAAAAGAAGAAAACATGGCTTGTTTTTCTTATTTCACTGCATTCCAACTGGATGATGAAAGCCCAAGGTCCCCATGGGTTAATGTCCAGCCTCTGGTGCTCAGATTGATGGTCAGGGCTCCCTGTGCTCCCAGCAGCTCAGATGGGGGAGAGGAGAGCCCACCACCCACCCTGACTCAGCCTTCAACCTACTCACCCCCTGTGGTTACCCTCTATGGGTATCACATGAGAATTCTGGAGACCCTTGAAGGAGTCCCCTTTACCCCCAGTCTGTCCCTACTGGTCATTCCTTAAAGAGAACAGTGACAGTTGTAGTGATGGCATTTCTCGCTTATATCTGACATCTCAGGAATGGTTGGAATTGTACCTTCTGCACAACAGAAGATTCTTCCCAAAGTCTGGAGCATTACAGGGAATCTGAGGTCCTGGTGAAGCAGATGGATCCTGGGAGGAAGTTGGTGAGTTGATTTTGACCCCAAGCCTTTTCTGTTCTGCTCACATGTAAGAAGTCAATCGGTCACAGGATGAGGGTGATGGTGTCAAACAATGCCTGGTCTTCTGAATGTGTCTCAGTCACACTGAAAACCATGAGGCATGCCACATAGAAACCATCTGAGAAAAAAACCCAAAGGACTCATTACCTATTAGTGTCAAGAGCAATACCAGTTTGGGGAAACTTCCAGAAGACTGATGTGGGCTTCTTGCATGTGTCTGGGCATGCCTCTGGGCTCATTCTCTCCAAGCTGTTTTTCATTCACTGCCTCCTTCTTTTGCAGAAATGTGAGTTCCTGCTCTTAAAGGTCTATCACCATTTAGAGAGCAACATTTTCCCAAATATTCCACATGGAAATTATGTGAGTAACAATGAAAAAAACATCAATACAGGCCACCATGATATTACCTGCCCTTGACACGGGCACTTGTGGGATTTATGATCTGAAGTCCCTGGGAGGGAGAGCATGAGCTACTTATTGTCACCTTGGATTTCTGCTGGATTTGATGGGAATCCACAGAAGACATTGAACTCTGTCAAAACTCTCCTGTTGATTGCTACTGATATATTTTTTCACCAGGTTACAAAGGCTTCTCAATATCTAGGGAAACTTAGGAAGTTGGACATAATTAAGAAGAAGCTAATCAAGGAAAATTACTGCAAAGTGAAAGATTTTAAGGAGGCCATGGACAAATTTTTTCAGGATCCCAGGGTAAGGGGCTCTCATGCATTTGTTGCATTTTCTTTCCATGAGTCTCTCTGCTCTCATTTCCTGGTGCTGGGGACTTTTTAGAGATTCCCTCATGCTTTATGATCTTGCCAGGATGAGCAAGAGTTCAGGAAGTGAGTGGGTTTTTACATTAAGGATTTAAGCTCACCAAGGAAAAGAACTATGAGTCAGAAGGTGTGCCTGCATCCAGAATGCAGATGTCCCAAAATGCAGTCTTTTGCAAGTGATTTCCTTGCAAAAGGGAATCAACGGGTGATCAAAGGGGAATTGAAGTGTCAACGTGAAAGGAAGATCACTGGTTGTACTTAGACATCTGTGATGTTTGATTATTTCTAAGATCTTAGGTTACTTTTCTAACTCTCACTGAAAGAGACAACCCAAACCTATGGAGTAACAGTCTTCGAGAGTAGTAATGATTTCCCATTTCTGTGTAGTCATCAAGAAGTAATCATGCTCTTAGGAAACAAGTTTCTCTTAGCTCCGTGTGTTTTTAAACTTCACCTGGTTAAGAGTCCTGATAATTCTCAGTTTCAAGGTATCTAATGAGAATGATAATGAGTATCATTATTTTTGTCTGTTTTTTCTTGTAGTGTGAGAAATTACACTTAAACCAGGAGGAATTTGTGAAGAATTTCAAAGAGGTCTTCGCTATTCAAGAAACAAATTAGTACAATGCATTGGTGTAGTGCATGCTGTTGGCACCCTGAAACATCACGCCGTTTTCTGGCAGAGTTCTTGTCCCCTGATGCTATAAGCTTGGCTGCTGAAGCCACCTCCCCCATTGTATTGCTTTGGGCTAAATGTAGCCAGATTCACCTGAATGTTATATATCTTTGGCCTGGGGGTTGGTACCCACCCCAAGGTTGAACCAGCTGTGTTCAGTGACTCAGGTTTCTACGTCCACCAGAGACTGAGACTAGAGCTATTGTCCAGCTATGACCACATCCTTGCTTAGCTTTCTCCTCCACGGTATCCTGTATCCCCTACCCTCCTCCTCCTGAGAGAATTCTAACAATAAATCAGGTATTCAAGAGACTTTATCTCAGGCTTTGCTTTTGGGAGCCCACCTTAACATAATGGTCTTAGCAAGTCAGCCTTTAGGCATGGAGTACTGAGTTGGAACACTGTCTAGCCAGACTTTTCCAGGAAGAATATTGATAGTACCTGGGGTGCTCAAACAGAGTGGTTCCAAAACATTTACCTTCAGAAACTGAATGTGATACCGGGGAAGATGTATACTACCTGATGCAATTGTCTAGCATTCACAAAGGGAGAAATAGTAACCATTAGAACTGTATTTTTAGTGGCCATTTCATGTTAAATATTGATACATGATGGGCTTATAGGCAGGCAGTAAGGAAGACCTAGCACAGCCCCTAATTTTAGGAATGATAGAACTTCAGAGAAGACTGAATTCTAAGCTCAGTGTGGCCTCTGAGTCAAAGGCAAGGCCCTGATAAAGAAAGCATGAAGCCCTGAAACTCAGAATGGGGTTTTCTAGGTAGATGCACCTAAACTCTGAACTCTAGACCCCTCTGACCTCACAGATTTGCAAAGTGGTCCCTTGTCCCTATTGGTAGAGACTCCTGTCATACCCCTCATTTAAGACTATGCACAGTTCTCTCAGTATAAATAAACTAGGAATATAAGAGAGAAGACGGCAGGCTGAACAGTTCAGCAGAGCTGCAGGACTAGGAGATTTGTGTGGGACTGGATCCTGGGAATGCAGTGTTACAAGGTACCACTCACTGATTGGCAGTGGAAGGCTTCTGGTACAGGCAGACTCTCCTGGGCCACAGAGACTAATTAACCTGGCAAGTTCCAAAGGCAATGATTCTTGGTGGTTCTTAGTGGCTTGTCATGAAGGACCGTGCACACTAGATAAAGTGAAAGAAGAAATACTAGACTTGCCAGGGCCAGCAAAATGGAACTGGGGCACTCACAACCTTTAGGAAGATGGCACGGCTCTACTCTCTACAGCTGAAAACCCATCCCTCAGGAGACTGTGCCCTCAGGAGGCCTCAGAGACACCAGCTTAATGAGCTCAAGGAATGCACTGTTAAGAGGGCACCTGCATCCTTAACATGCTCAGGTGGGACTGTCCTCTGTAGGCTGGAGCAATGTAGAAATCATGTACAGAGCTGGATTCCCTCATAGAAAAGGAAATGATAGTATTCCAGAGTAACTTAAGCCAGGTAGCAGCACTCAGTTATCAGAGAAAGATGAGTAATCTCTGTAATGAGCAGCAAGCTTAGAATGACAACCAGGGACCCTGATCCATAGATGTCTAAGGAAGTAGATCCTAGAAGATGGTGTTCTCACAGGCAAGGCAGAGCAGCCAAAGGATATTGCTTCATATATTCCACCAAAAGGTATTTTTAAAAGATGATCAGATGGTTCAGGTGCTATCTGAAAGAAAATTCAACATTCCTTGCCTACTGTACAGACCTCAGCTAATCCTTCCTCCACAAGCCATTGTTGGAAATGAGGGCAGTTTTCATTAGAAAGGAGGGCGCAAATGTACACAGTAGTAATTCCCTGAGTTCTTCACCAAAGGGGCCTATGGCCATTTATTCAAGCAACCATATTCAAAACAAAGAAAATATGTAGACATTTTAAAGGTTATTAATACAATGTCTCAGTTCACACTTGGGCACCCAAACCACCTGTTAGAGTACACTTATGGAGGTAAGGTAATGTCCACCTAACTCTGAGTCCACTTGATCCATTCAGCCATCCATCAGTCCTTTCCCAAGTTCCCAGGGGTACAGTCAGGACACACACAGCAGTTGGCCGACCTGGTTTTTTATCCTATTATTCTTTAACCTAGGAAATAACAAAGACTGTCCTAGGAAAGGCCAGATGGAAGGCTCTGAAACTGAAGTTTTCTTTATTGAAAATAGTAAGTTGAAAAGAATGCCATAATTTGGGTGGAGAGAGGAACAACAGGTTGATATCACCTGCAGAGATTTAAGGTTCAAGACTTACAATCCCTATTACATCTCCATGTGATTCAACAGTCTGGCTTAGGTACAAGCTAGGTGATTTCTGGCTACTAGATGACTAATAGAAACTCAAGCAAAAGTGGGGCTAATGGCACCCAGCACTCAGACCTTGGTGGACTGCATTGTGCTTAGAGCAGTCCCTAAAGAGAGATCCCAACTAGTAGTTCTTCTCTTCTGCAGAGTAGAGCCCCTCATACTATCTGGCCAGAGAGCTCAGTTGGCAGTTTTACCTGATTTCAATCCCAAGTCACACCATACCAACCAAGGAGTCCATTCTAGTACCCTGGCCAACTGGAAAAACAAATGTGCCAGACCTGCTCAATTGCTGAGTGTTGCCTCAGTCCTGGCTGTTTAAAATGCTTGGCCAGATACCCTGAGAGCTATACCAGCAAGCCTATGTTTCAGGTGATATATGGAGCCAGATTTATAACTCCATCTAGTGAGAGAGCCCACCCTATAATGCTGTCCTATTGACTAACACAGCCTGTGGCTTCACCCATTCAGGGAGCCTACCCAGGAAACTCACTCCATCATAGAGTGTAGTTTACAACCCACCCAGTGAGGGAGCAAGGAGAGCGATGCTGCCCACTAATGAAATAGTCTCTATCCTCACTCTTCATGCACCTACATCATGCAGTTGGAGGCCCTACCAAGTCAGAAAATCTGGCCAGTTACTGTGTCCAACATCAGAGCACAGCCAATTATTTTATTTATTGTGAAGCCAAGCCTGTAACTCTGCCAATTTCAGGAAACAACATTTGGCCTCACAAGATCTCGGATCACATTCTAAGTCCCAGTATGACTGTGAAGCCCTTCTTCTTGTCCCAGCTGAACAGGAAGTCCATCTAGAGACAACATCAGACTAGGAAATATATCCTGAAACCTTTCCCACACAGGAGCCATTGCCTAAGAGAGCTTGTAACCCTGACACATTGCAGAATCCAACTAGTGGAACCTCCATACCCCAAAATACAGCCTGAAACATCACCCAACAAGAGGTGATGGCAAAGGTCAGCAAGTGGACCCATCAAACTTCAGAGAATAGTCAGGAACCTAACCTGATCAGAAAGCCCAACCAGCAGACCCAGCAAACCACACAACTCAGCCAGCATCCAACCACCAAACTCAGAGCACAGGCATTCACTTTTCCAACATAGATGCTGATAACATGCCCCACACCCCCATGAATGGATGACATCAAACTAGAAAGCTTCCAAACAACAAAAAAATAATCATCAAAATGAAAAGGCAGTTTATAAAATGGGAGAAATTACTCGCAGATCAATATTTCACTAAACAAGTATTTCCAATCGATTTTTCTAGCAGCTCAACAAATTCCTTTCAAGGGTTTAATTCCCCAAAGAGAGCCTGGCTGGCAGGCTTGTTGATGGGACAGCATCTGAATTAGCAGTTCCCTCATTCCTGCCCATGAAGTGTATGTTTTGTCCACCCAGTGAAATATGTGTCTTTGAAAGAGAGGACAGATGGACAGATGGCCATGGGAACCATGACCAACTGAGGACACCACCAAGATCATCACAGAGTGGGCCATGATGTCTAACAGGAGAAATAGGACAGTCCCAGGCCAGTCATAGTGACCAGAGATCCTGGCACTTTTTCAATATAACAGCTTGAGTGTGGCTCGGTTGCCTGGTGCTGTAGAGAAAATGGCTGATTTGTCATCATGCTACAAGGGAGAGTGTCTACCCACTCCACTGGACAGCCAAGAACAAAGAAGGCCACTGAGCTGTCATACTTGTCTGTCCGATTTACCTAGTCTCAGATGTGGGCTGTTTGCTGGGGAGATCAGCTGTGGTCTTACTTGGGGAGCATGGAGCTGTGGAAGATCCTGGAGCTCCCAAGGACCTAGGGCTTTAGGTAACCACCCGTCACCCGAACCTCCCAGAGGGGCTCCTCTGGGCATCAGCTCACACACTGCTCTGCTTTGCTGGAGAGAAGTGCCATTTGTTGAGGAGACCCAATATTCTCCTATTGTCTCTGTGCAAAATGGGCGGGATAGATCTCCCAGCAAGGCTTCACAAGGGCCCACATCAGAGTTCAGGGACTACATAAATAAACCACTAATTAAAAAAAAAACAGATTTGATTCCATTGTTCAATCACTTCCTTTAACAAAAAGCAAGTAGTCTTAGACTTCTTGGATTAAGTTTATATTTCTCATCATTCTACATGGCTTGTAAAGTATTACCTCCAAATGAAATTTTAGAATGAATCCTGTTTTTTCTTTAGCCATATTATGTAATGTTATTTTATTGATAAAGGGGCCCACTCTAAGTAGGCATGTGTTTCTGCTCCCATGGATCTAGAACTACAAAGTGTATCTACCCTGGCTTGTGTGTCTCCTAACAAATATGTGCCTCTGATGTTCTCCACACTTTCTTCCTTGGTGGGCAGGGGCTCAGAGGCACTGGACCCACTGGGATTCTCAAGTCAGAACAGAGCTGGGCCAGTGAGTGTGCAGGGTGGTCTGCTGCTTCTGAGGGAGGGTGAGAATTCTGCTTCTGATCTATAGGAGTGAGTTCCTACCGAGCCATCCAATTGAAGAAAACAGCTAGAAACTCTAGGCAATAATTGGAGAACACCCCTGGCCTGTGTGGCTCAGTGGACTGAGTGTCAGCCTGTGAACCAAAGGGTCATCTGTTCAATTCCCAGTCACGGCACATGCCAGGATTTTGGGCCAGTTCCCCAGTCAGGGGCACATGAGACACAACCACACAGTGATGTTTCTCTCCCTCTTGCTCCCTCTCTTCCCCTCTCTCTATAAACAAATAAAATCTTTTTAAAAACATAATCAGGGAACAACACTTAAAACTTTGGGAAAATGAACAAAGACAAGACAATTCTGCAGGGAAGTCAATTCTCACATGCAGCCCACACTTGATGTTCCCAGTTTACTATCACTGGGCTCTGAGAGCAGCCACAGGCTTGTGTGGTGGTCAACAGTTTGGTAGGAAGTCCACTTTCCTCATGGTCAGCAAAAACAGGCAGCCAGAGATTCTGGGGAGGAAGAGGGTAATTTCAGAAAAAAAGAACATCACAGAGAAACAGCAAATTATGTTTATAAACTCTTCCCAAGTCACCAAACATAAGTTCCAAACCAAATGACAGGCAAAAAGATGAGAGAGATGAAGATCAACATACCAATTTCTTCCTGGTAAAAGGTGGATCAGGGGACCTGGCTTAGATGTGGGCCAAATACAAACCCTAAACCTGGACCCTAGCGTTGGACTTATCCACAAGGCCTCAGGTTGCTACAATCAACTGCACAAACCCATGAACACACAAATACACACAGTCCACACACCACAGACTGCTCTCCCTGAGTGTTTGAGGTTGGAGGAGCACCTAGTCCAACCCTCTCCAGCCAGACGAACCCAGGGAGACCCACCAGGGAACAGACTCACCTTTCACAGAACTCCCAGCCTGAGAGTCTTCCCAGAAAGAAGGGTGCTCATGGGAACCAGAAGTCCTGCTACATAATAGCCCACATTCTAGAAGGGGACACTGCTGTGGGGCCTGAGTGTTACCATTTAGGTCCAGGTGCCACCCTCTCCATTCCTACATCCACAGAGATGCTTGGGGTCTCCTTCCTCACCCGTGGCTGCTGTTGCTGCTGCTGCCACTTCTTCCTGCTGGTGAATTCTCAGGTCTGGACTCTCTGTCTCATCTCTGTCCCCACAGGGTCTCCCAGGCTGGAGACTTGGCCCACTTGGAAGCTGCTCCTGGTGAAGCCAAGAAAGCCTGTTCCCTTCCTGAGTCCTCTGCTCCTTGTGCCTCCTCAGTTGCTGCCCCTCTTGCTTTCTAGGTTCCAGGCCCCATAGCTGGGGACACTTCCCAGAAAACAGGAATAGTCCCCATTGTCATTGCTCCTTGTCACATGGAAAATGTCCCAGGCACTCCCTTCTGTCCTTCACATCAGGCCAGCAGGGCTGTTAGGGCTCAACCTGCTTCTGCAGGTGGTCTTGTCCAGGTCCTCACTCAGGTGGGTCTGATGTTATTTATGAATCAAAAATTTTTGCTTGCTGCACAGGGGCCTCCCGATCCCACAGAAACCTCTGCTGTTGGCAGAACAGGGTGCCTGCTCAGCTTTCTCTGGCCCTACAGGATTGTCTACTTTCCCTGAGTCAAGGGCAGCCCCAGGTGGGAGTGTCTACCCAGGAGACTGGCGCTCATGGATTTCCCCCCCACCCATCTGCTATCCACTGCTCATTCATGTGGTGATCTTGGTGACTCTCAGCAGACTCAGGGGAAAACGGGCACATTTATGCCAATATCCAGCACAGTGGGGCCCTAGTCTGCCTGCTTTTAAGGGACAGAGGAGAGAGTTGGGGGCCCCTGGAAAAGGCTGGTGTTGTCTGTATCAGACCCTGTCTGGGTCTCACAAACCAGGGCGGCCAGGAGCAGAGGACAGCTGTGCCCGGCAGAGGATCAGCTTACTAATTTCTACCTCTAAACTGTGGGTGATGGGGCGGGAGAGAAAGACACCCCCCCATGTGTGCAGCATCCAGGACACAGTGAGACCCTGTACTCTGGGAAAGAAACATCCTCATCAGTGTATGGAATCTGTCCAGAGTCATATTCACTCCTTTCAGGGAAAGAAAAAACATATATGGAGGATGGTAGAACCTTTCCCTGTATCTTAATCTCATTGGACTAGAACTCATAGTCCCAGCCCGAGGGAGTCAGATTCAGGGAACAAACATGGAAATCATGACCCTGAGAATGGTGCTTCTCCAGCCTGTTGTCTGAACACAGAGACCTAACTCTGTTCCTCTGTACCCTCTTGGAAAATCGGGTCATGAGAACAGTGGGGTTTGCTTATGTTTTTTTTTTTAATCTTTGCTCTAAAAAGGGGACTGCTGAGGGGCTGGTCCTGCTCATAGCTGGAGGTCTCCCACCCCTGGCCCTCCAGGTCCTGACTGTCCCTCCTTGTCCTCCATTCCTGCTGCCACATGTCCTGATGGCTGAGAACCACTGTGAAGCTGCAGGAGGAGGGAAATGTGTCCGACAAAGCTCATAAAGTTACTTTCACTTCTGTTTTCCCCATTTGGGTGGAGCCCTTTCTGAGTGAGTCCATTACAGACTTCCTGCTCAGCACTGGGTCGGCTGAAACCAGGTTGAAACCAGGCTGAAACCAGGCAGGGGATACGAGGGATCAGAGGCCTGGCAGGGCCCAGGGCAGGACAATGGCAAGTACGGGCAGCAACCTCAGGACCAGGTCAGTCTCTGCCTTCCTTCCTTTAACTTCTTCTCTGGCTGTGCTGCTGCTTGACTAGCTGGCTTTAGACACTCAACTAAACCTTGACCTTAGTCCTGCTTTATACATACACTCACACTCAGTGTAATGGAATGCAGGAATATGTGATAAGGAAATTGGATCTTTGAACTGCAGAGGGACAACCGCTAGTGTGAGCTCAGCGGCCACAGCCTACAGGACTCTTGTGTTACACCTACTGCTCTGCTGATGGCCCCTCCGAACTCAGCTTTTTCTTTGTGACTTTGAGAAATGGATTTGTTATTATCTCATGACCTCTGAACTCTCTCATTTCCCTCTGGCCCCTCCACCTTCACCTAGGTCGTTTCAAAGAGGGTGCTTAAGAAAATATAAAATTCAGGTTAAACATCTGACTTTGGGTGCCTTGGTCTCCTACCTGACCTGGGCACAGCTCAGTACTGGGCCCATTCCAGTCTCTGACTGGGGCTCTGGTTCTTCCTCCAGGAGCCTTGATGAGGAAGCCAAAGAACAAGGAAGGACCAAGATGCCAAAGACCAGTGCAGACTGGTGTTTCATTTGTACTTTGATTTTCTCCTCTGGGTGGGTTCTTACTCTGACAAGGAGAAGGCTAGAAACCCAACCTTTTTCTTTAGTAATGAGTCCTAAATTGCATTACTTAATGAGTTTAATTTCTCTTTTTTGAATCCAAAAGAAATACATTATACTTTCTTTGTCATGAAATTTCAAACGACAGGGATGTATACAAAGGGAAGCAGTCCTATTCACCTTTCATCCCCTGAGGCTTCCATTCTTGGGCCTGCTGAGTGTTCTGGGCACAGCCTCTTATGTCTTTTCTATGCATTTACATGAAAACATGTAAAGCGTGTTTTCATTAAAACATGACTTGTTAGGAAAACTTACTTGTTTTCCTAAATGCATAATTTCTATCTCGTTTTTTCAGTGAGATCATATTGTATACACCATTCTGGATTTTATGTTTTTTTTAATTTTAACATTAAAATTATTAGGGTTTGTCACATTTATAAACATAAGGATCTACCTCATTCTTATTAAAAGGTGCATACTGCTCCATGAAGCTGTTTTCCATAATTGTTAAATTTTGTTCCATTTAAACCAATTATGTTGTTTTAAATTGTTCACTGTTACCAATAAACTGTGGTAATAACAATTACATATTTCTTTATGTTTTTGCATGTATACAAGTACGTGTGTCATAAATGAAAAGGTAGAATTGTTCAGGCAAAGGGTACTAATACTTCATTGTTCATAGATCCTACCAAACTGCCTTCCTCATGGCTGAACCACCGTGTTCTCCCACCACTGGCTGATGAGCCATCTCTTCACACACAGACTTCACAAGGAGCTGGATGAAGGGATGCAGCCTGTTAATCTGCATTCTCTGACTGCATGGGAGGCTGAACAGGTTTTCAAGTCTATTGGCCTGAAATTGCCTCTTCTATGAATTGCTGGTTTATTTTTGGCCAATGTAATAAGTTGATTGTCCTTCCTTTAATGACAAGGAAGAGTTTGCTGCATACTCTGAACTTATCAATATGCTTCCTTGCCTTTAACTTTTTTATGGCAACTTCTATCTTGTTAAAGCTTTCAAATTTGGAGTAAAAACTTATAGTATTGATTTTAAAAGATAGATGCACTCTGTTTATCACAAATAAATAAAAGCAATGCTGAAAGTTACTGGTGAATTCCATGCACACTGTCTTTAACTGGAGTTCTTGTGTTCATGAGGAGACAGATTCAATTCCACCTTTACTTCAGGGAAAGTTTCTTCTCTAGTATGTACAACATGTATTTTTTTTAATTTGGGGTAAAACTCTTCTTCCATGCATGCAACTTTAACCTTCACAGCTTTATTTGTCCCTAATAAATCAGCTTTTTACTTCCTGCTCATAATAGTTGTCTCAAATTTTCATTTATGACAACTACTTAATTTTTAGTAGTTCTTGTGGGGTTTTCTTACTACCAATTTTTTGAAATGCTGAGTCTGTGAGTCTCCCAGCAGTAGCCCTCTGTCGGTGTAAAGTCCAGGTAATCAGTCTCCAGCTGTGGCCAGAGCTGAGCTCTGCTTTCCTAGGAGGAAGTGACTTCCCAGCTTTCTGCTCTCTGTTCCCTGGACCTCATCAAAATGGTCATGGCCAGCTCCAAATGGTGAGCCTTTGGGGAGGTAATTCTACTCTGCCTTTCAGGGACATTTGACATGGTTTCTTCAGCTTTTTGGTCTGAAAAACTTTACTGTTTACACTGAGGGGCAATCTGACTGTGTGTTGGGACCCCTCACTCCAGCCCTGCCTGACCCTTATAAGCTCACCTGTCTTTATTGCTCCCAGCAGAACTCCTTGTCCTTGACCAAGCCTAGGTTCCCATTCTCTGCTCTGGGACTAGTTTTTTTCATATTTTGAATGGTGTCTTTTAAAGCAGAAAATATTTAATTTTTCCCTAATTTATCAGTGTTTTTCTTTATTGGTCAAGCTTTTGGTTTCATAGCTATCTTTTTGTCTTCTATAACCCAAAGTCACAAAGATTTTTCAAAAAGTGATCTCATTTTCTCTTTTACACAGTACCAGCTTTTACAATTTATGCTCATACCAGCAATGAATGTCTGCTTCTCTGAATCTTCTCCAGTGCTGTTTGTCACTTGTGAAATTGTGTTTGCCAATCTAGTGGGTGAGAAATAGTTTCTCACTGATATTTTTGTTTGTATGTATTTGTATGTTTATTGGACATTTTAATTTTATTTTCTCTAAGTGACTGTTCAGATGCATTTTCTTTGGCATTATATGTCATATTTTGTCAATAGAGTGGAGTCTTTGTATATCAGATATAATAATTCTTAGACCTGTGTACTGAAAATAGAGTTCTACATTCTTTTACTATTTCACTGAATTTTTCACATCAAACCAATTAAGTCTTCTTCTACTTACTTGGCTTGACTCAGATATTTTTCTGTCATATATATTTTTAGATTGCCTCATCCACTTTCAATAGGATTACAAACTGCAGGTGCACTACACTTTTACAATAATTTCAGAAGGACTGACACTTTAAAGTTGATATGTTTTCCTAACTGAAAGCACCTTTCACGTCCCCATTTATTTAGAACTTGATAATTATCTTCAATAAGACATTATAGTTTCTTTCATATAGTTCATAACTTTCAGATGTTTATAAATATATGAATGTGTATTTACTGCTGTGTTTGAAGTAATATTTTCTTTCTTTTCAACATATGTTGTTGCAAATAAAATCTGTTCATTTTATGTACCTTATAAAAAAATCCATGCCTCTTGGCAAATTCTTTTTCTAGTTCTTAGGGAATTTATTTAGGTCTCTATCATATCTCTATATGTAATCATATATCATATAATATTGTGTCTTTTAAAAATATTTATACAAATGAATTTTATTTATATCTTATTGCATTAGCTAAAACATATATGTGAGTAAATTGTAGTGATGGTAGACATCATTGAATGGTCTCATCACTTCATTGAATGGTCTCATCACTTCAATGTTTACTTTAATGTTTGCTGTTTTTTGAGTTTGTATTGTGTCAGCTTTCAACTATTTCATATATTGTTTCTAAAATTAAGAGCATGGAGACTCCAGATTTTAAAAACTAATTTATGAGTATAACTATATACTTTCACTGCTTTTGTTTATTGTTGCCATAAATTTCATAAGAGGTTTCCTGATATGTAACAGTTTTTACTCAATCTCATTCCACTGTCTTTCTGTATTTTTTTTTCCAAAGCAACCTCTGACTGCAAGATCTATTTCCCCTGTTCCCAGCAGAGGGCTTTTTCTTTTCTGTTGTACAGTTTTGGGGTATTGCTATTATTTTCACATGCAGCATGTTTAGCTTTTACCAATTAAAACATTTTGAGACTTCTTTTGTAATGAAGGTCATGATGTGTTGACATAGATTCAAAATACTGAAAATAAATTATAGTTCCCTGTTTTTAGCATACAAGATTATGTAATGTGTCTTTCTAACAAATTTCTCCAGAGCCTGTACAATAATTTTTGCCTGTGCAAAAACTCAAAACCTAGAAGTGAAAGTGTTTTTAATATTTATAAAACATTTGTTCCATTATTTGTGTTTTGAATTTTTCTATCACATCAATATGAGCATTGTTTTGTTGGTGCTGTTGTTGTTCATGTTTACATACCATAATTTTTCTTTCTGTGATTTTTAACAACTTTTATGGCACTTTGTCTTCCTTGAGTCTCTTGCTGGATTCTATTTTTGATCCTGTGCTGTCCAATATCACCACTGTTTCATCTACAACAAGTATTTTGCAAAATATAATTTTTCTACATTTTCCTGTTTTAAATTTTTAACTCCTCATTGTTTTCCTTGTTCCTTTTTGTCTAATAATGCAAGCTATGTTTGTTTTTATTTTACATCTTCCTGTTTCAAGTGACATTAAAAAAGCTTAATTTTAATCAACCAGGATTACTTTAAATTTTTAATTTATTTTTAATCTATTTTTCTAGTTTTGAATTTGAAACCATATTGTTCAAGTTATTGAAATTTAAAAAATCATATTAAGCAAAAAGGAAAAAGGATTCACAGACAACAGTGTGGGGAACTTGGGCAGCAGATTACAAGGGGGATAAGAGGTAATGAAAAATACAACAAAAAATTTTAAATATAAAAACAAGTCATTTAACTCCAATTGCCTTTTACCACTCAGCTCTACACTTTAAGTTGTTAATATATTTTGCAGCCTTACATTGAAATAGTTACTATTTTGCAAAATAAAATTTTTTTTTCTAGAATAACTTTTTGCATACAGATTTTTTACACATTTAGTTGAATACCAACTTAGGTTTTTCATTATTGGAACTATTATTAATGGTATTGTTTTATTTAATTTTGAATTCTAATTTTTCAATGCTGGCATGTATAAAAGCCATTATCATTGTACATTATTTCATGTCCATTGTCCTCACTATACTTACTTCTTAGCTACAGGAGATTTTTTTTGGAGAATTCTTTAGGATTTTCTGCATAAGCAATTATGTCATCTGCAAAGACAATCTTATGTCTTTCAAACTCTATAGTTTTAATTTCCTTTTCATTTTCTAGTATGCATTCCAGTACAATATTGAATAGGATTTATAAAGGGAACATCTTTCCTTTTCCTGATCTTAGGGGAAAAGTGTGCAGTTTCTCAACAGGAAGTCTGATATTAGCTACAGGTTTCTTGTGGATGTTCCTTCTCCAGTTGAGGAAGTTCCTTTTTATGTCCAACTTGCTAGGGGTTTTTACATGAATGGATATGGATTTTGTCAAATGCACTGTCTGCATCAGTTGACCTGGTCACTCCATTTTTCTTCTTCAGCCTCTTGATATGGTGGATTACACTGAGTGATTTGGAACATTGAACCAGCCTTGCATACCTGGGGTAAATTTCAGTTGGCCATGGGGATAATTTTTTATACGTTGTTATATGTAATTTGCTAATGTTTTAGTGAAGATTTTTGTATTGCTATTCACGAGAGTTATGAGTCCGTAGTTTGTCTTTCTCTGCTTTTGGTGTTGCAGTATGCTGGACTCATGGGATGAGTTAAAACTTTTCCCCCTGCTTCTATTTTCTGGACAAGGCTTTAGAGAACTGTATCATCTCTTAGTTCAAGGCTTAGCAGAATTTACCAGTGAAATTATCTGAGCCTGATACTTACTTTTTTCAGTGTTAATTACTCCTTCACTTTAAAAAAAAACAGATATAAGCCTACTCAAATGATCAAACTCAAGTGAGTTTTTGTAGTTTGTATCCTTCAAAGACTTGGCCCATTTTATTGAAATTACCAACATTGTACTCAGAGATGTGTCACAGTAGTTTTTCAAAATGCTTTCATTTTCCTTGGGATCAGTTGGTGATGATCCTGCTTAGACTTCTAATATTGGTATTTTGTGTGTTTTATCTGTTTTTCTTATTAGCCTGTGTTAAAGTTTATCAATTTTTATTAATCTTTTCCAAGAGCCAGCTTTAGGTTTTGTGATTTTCTCTATTTTTTCTATGTCCACTTTAACTGATTTCTTTCTTATTAAATTTTTATTTTATCCTATTTCCTCCATTTTAGGTTTAAATTGCTCTCTTTGTGCTCTTGTATTGCTGGTTTCCTAAGTGGGAAACAGATTTTTTAAATTTCAGATCTTTATTCTTTTCTAACATATGTAGTTAACAGAATTTATTTCTCACTAATTACTGCTATATCAGCATCACCAATTTTTGATAAATTATATGTTCAATTGCATTTAATTTAAACAATTTTAAATTTTCTCTTGAGATTTATTTTTGCCTATATGTTATTTGGAAGTACATTTTTTGATCTCTAAATATTTGAGGAGTTTCTATCTATTTCTGTGTAATTAATTTCTCATTTAATTTTTTTCTTGTCTGACTGCATAGTCTATGATTTCTGTTCTTCTGCACTTGTTACAGTTTGCTTTATGACCCCAAATGTGATCTGTCTTGGTGAAGGTGAGTTTCCCTGTAATCATGTGGACTATGTGTACACAGTGTTGTGAATTGGACTATTCTATAAATGCCAAATAGATTAATTTCATTAACAGTGTTGCTCAGATGAAATGTATTTTTATTAAATCTTTGCTTTCTAGGTCAATAAATTACTAAAAGAGAGTTTGGAAGCATCAAACTCTAATAGTAGACTTATTTATTTCTACTTGTAGTTCTTTCAGTTGTTACCTTCTATAATCCGATGGGGTGTGTTCAGGTGAATGCATGTTAAGGGTTGTTAAGTCTTCTTGGAAAACTGACCCCTGTTTCATATGTAATGCCCTCTTGCTCATTCATAACTTTTCTAGTTCTGAATCATCTTCGTCTAGAAATAACATAGCTACTCCATCTATCTCTTGGTTAGTACTAGCATGATCTCTCTCCATTCTTAAATATGAGTTTTATACTTAAAGGTTTATTTTAAGACAAATATGTTTTAATTTTGTTATGACATATAGGTTTT